GCCGCCGAAGTAGAACGTGCTATTGTTGTTGACATCGTTGTCGCGTTTATCGTGGTTGTTGCCTTTGTTGTCGTTGTCGTCATCATCCATTGTCGTTATTGTTGTTGTTATCACTACCCCTTTTCCAGTGTTCAAGGGTCAGTTTTTGCTTCAGTCGCTAGGTGGTTGGCTCCCTCTTCCGAAGTGGGCCTCTTCGTTGGCCTCAACTCTATTCGCATGTGTATCATTTGTCTACTTTATTCTTAGATCTTGGTGTTGCGTTCGTCCTCTCTCCCACAAGGCGCCGATTGACCGCAGTGGCTATCGAAGTGATGGTGGTTGTTGCCGGTGACGGTCACTATAGAAGTGGCCACAGCGACGTATCTGAGTGTGTCCCTTAGTCTTTTCATCCGTCCATAGCGTTTCGTGTCTAGCTGCCGCTGATTGTCCGCTGTTCGTCTCGAAGCGAGAAGGAGCAGCAGGCGACGCAGACGAAAAGAGCCACACTGAGACGACGCAATCCGGTAACGGGAACAGCAGCAGCGGCAGCAACAACAGTACAGCGAAAACGCAGTGGTTGCAGGCTGGACGCACCGACGTCGCCACCGGATGACCTGAGCACACCCCGAAAAACCCGGCAACAGGCAGGCGGGTAGCCGGGGGCCCAGCGGGTCACAGTTAGCCGGCGCCTCATAAAAGAAGATGACGATAACGCACTGAAACAACTGCATAGAGCTTGCAGCGCTATATAATGTAGAATACATTGCCGCAATAAGCCTAGTCCAGTTTCCTGATCCCGTTCCCGTCTCCTTTTTCGTTCAGATCCTTCGAGCGACCTACGTGTCGCGTTTGTCTGGTGAAGTCATGCTAGTAGACCGCGACTGAGAACCCACTGGGAAGGAATGGCCGTTTACGGATAACGATAATGAGAAGACGACCTAAATGAGAAACAAGAAGAGGATCCACAATAGCATCTATACGATGTTGCTGAGATATATTGTTTGTCCTTATCTTGTTTCTGTCCTCTTATTATTTCGGCCCGTGTTGTTGTTGTTGTATTTTTTGTTTCCATTCATCTCCATGCTGATCAAATGAATGGAAAAAAAATGGCAGCAGCATAAAACGTATCTGGTTATCGTTGATTAGAGCCTCCTACTTCGGTAGTCATTGCTGCTGCTTCCGTCGGCGCCGTCAGCCCAACAAACGTACGCTTTCGCTTCTGCCGCTATACTTGATTAGGAACGTTCGAATTACCGCTGTCTGCATCGATGTCTGTCGCTCCATAGCTTAAGTTTGGCCATTGAATTAGCTCACTCCCTAACCAACAAATACCTGGATTGATTGCTTAAGCACGTCGCATAGGGGGACGACTGTATACGTAGCAAGTAGCCATAAACTACGATCATCTTCTCCGTGTATTATTGATATCTAGGCTGTTTTGTCGCCACTTACAGCCGCTTTTCATAATCAGCAAGGTCGACGAACCCTTTGCGACTTATTGGCGGGTGCGGATTTAATAGCAGTGCTTGTAAACAGCAGCCGTAGCTGATTTAAGGTAACAGCGAAGACAAATATTTTCGAAAAAAAGGTTGTTTTCTCAACGAAATAAGTTAAACATTAAGGTATCTAAGTTTGCCTATTAAGTTTACATATATATAAATATATATGGTTGACTGTTAAAGGATACTTCTCGATATTTGCAGGTGTTCACGAACGGGGATAATTACCAAGTTTGCACGTAGCTGGTTTTTGAGAAGTTAGCGGAAATAGCTTAAGTACTTTGCTGTTCCGAAGGAGTCGCCAAAAACAACATTTCTAGGACGGGTGAAGATGTTAAGTCTGAAAGGCAGACATGATCCAGGTATTATTTACTGTGTTACTTCGTTTCCTAAAAAACTATGCCTCAAAATTATCGGCAGCAGGATGCTATTAAACATATCGATTAACTATTCTTCTGGGTAGATCGTGAGTGACTCGAAGCTAAGAGGGCCATAACTGCACTCTCGAAAGGTCAGGTCGAAAAGAAGCTTTCAACTGTAGAAAACAGAAGTTAATGAAAACATACTATTTTAGATTTCTGTAAAAAAAAAAAACAAAAAAAAAAAAAAAACAGTGAAGTTAGAGTGTAATCAGCATCTGTTTTAGCAGTAAAAAATGCAAGTCTATTATATTTAACAGTTTTTTTAATCTACCCACTGTGGGCCTACTCAGCCAACCCTATTTGTCTTAAACGCGTACGTATACGTGTTAAAACGTAATTTGTTTTCTGTTTTACTGATTAGGTAGTACTAACTAGCGCAGCATAAATACAAAGCTTTGAATACTGTCTTGAATATGTGCATCGTTCAAAGGCTACCGTACAATTACATTTGAATGAATTACATGAACATTCTTGTTAAGGTGTTCTTAAACCTATTGCCTCTGGCTGTGGGAGTGTTGGCCATCTAAGGTTTATCCTGGCACCGTACATGCTATTTATTTACAACTGAAAATAATACTTGTATTTACTGAACTGGGGTAGCATCTGCATCGTAATGTCTTATGCTCGTATTGATTACTAGGTATAACATGCCCCTTTATTAAATCCCCCAATGAAATGACCCCCAAAATGTCTAGATTTTTTTTCGTTCCTGAAATGTGCGCTTTTTTTGACTAGACACTCTTTGGGAGAAGATGGCACACTAATACATTTGGGAAATGAATGTTCCGGCAGAACCAGCGATTTGCCAGGATCTGTTTCAGTAGTATACATGAGATTGGCCCATACGATTTACGTTCGTCTTGTGTTCAGATTTTGCAAGCACCCCTCGCAGGTTTATATATTTATTCAATACGCAGAAAATCCATGTCGCCTTCCTCTCAGATAGCACAATCTTCACAGCGAAGTGTATTCGCCTATGGTTAATTTTGTATAGCGTATTTTTTTCTCGTATAAGACCTACAAGACGTTTACTAACAGCTATTTTTAGAGCTGTTTTGTAAAAAAAAAACGGCACTTTTTTCATTGCGTTTTTTAAGCTTGCTTTTTAAGCCCTGTTGACTCTGCGTGACAGAGCTAAATACAGTAAGAACGATTTGCTTTATCTAGAAGCGGCGTAGTAAGCGAACAAAGTACTGCGTGACACCGTATTCAAAATTTAGAGTCTACGATTTTTTAGGAGTTCAAAATATCGTATACTCGTGTTTTTCTTCTGATAGATTTCAGTATGTCTCAACTGAAATGAATGCTCAACTACATAAGACTGCATCTTGATCTGTCATAAGCTTCTGACAAGAAAACACATCCAAAGATTGCCTTGACTGTTTTTATTCTATAATGAAACGCTTTCGCATTCTATTTAGTGTGTGAGATTTAGCTTAGCTAACCATCTGGATACTAAACTGTATAACGCCAAAACAATTTGACGCGTCTAGGCCATTTCAAAAATCTGTATTGAACATTTTCGTTTGTTTCTATGTGATTTTGTTTGACGTATGGGTCAAAGCTGTATTAGTCTAGGCACCTAGGCTCTCCCAGGTCCGTAGACAATAGAGTGACGAAGTGTCTAGACCCTATTTGGTCAGTTACTTTGAGGATTTTGCAACTTAGATAGTATCCCCGTACCATTTACTGGTGGTTATACCACTATTTGTATGCGCGTCTGTCTCACCCTCTAGGCCGTCGCATCTCCTGTCTGGCAGCCGGATTCATTAGGTGGCTAATATTTTTTCAGTCGCGATCTTCGTCTTTGTCCATTCTTAGCTCAATCGGCCTGTTCAACTTGTTGCCGTACCCCTTCCCTGTTCTCCGCACGCGGAAAACTGCTGTCCAGTTCTACCCCCCGCTCCCCCACAGCCTATCGTTATGCTCTTTCTTTTTATGTCCCTGTCGTGCTCACTGTTGACGGTAGATTGTCATTGTTACCGTCGGAATCGTCACTGTTGCTGATTCAGTGAGCTTTGGTCGCTATAGTTTCTTTCGTTGGCGCTGTCTCTTCACCCATTTGCTGGCTGTGACACTTCTTCGGTGATATTTTCGTTTTCGTTGCCTCGTTTTCCCCTTCAATCGTCTCCTCTTCGTTTTTACTCATGGTCGTTCGCTATTTTTTGCAGACGTCTTCGGCTTGTTGTCGTACGTCGGCTGTTGACACTGATGTTGCGGAACTGCTAGCGCCGCCTGTTGTTGCTTTCTTGCAGCATTTGCTAGCATTGTAGTTGCTGCTAGCCTACAGAAGCCGCTTACCTGTTTGCCCAGAGCTTTGGCCGTATACTCCATTGTGACGACCGCTGAATAAATCGTAATGGCACCAACAATAAGGGGTGAGCAAGACAACACACCGCAACTTCATCGCGATTTCACCGGACCAGTATATCGGACCACATTAGTGAACAGTTCTGGAGGTTAATCGAGGAAAAAAGCAGAAGCCATCCTTAAGACAATCAGCACCGTAGACTCATAGCAGAGCACTGAAACGAGCTGTCCTGCCACACCATTCTCCGCAGCTACCGTGCTACGCCTTATGCCGTAGCCATATTTTGAGCTCTCATCGGTACGCCTTTCACGTATCGTCTTTGTCATCGTGGAAAGGAAGAGTGAACAGTCAAGTAGCTGACTATAAACTATGTAGCAGAGACAACGATCGAAAACAGAGCACATCGACAGGAAACTTAACAGGGCAGTTTCGCTCACTAGCGGAAGATCAACAGTAATGGACGCAACAGCAGCAGAGTCTATAACGTAGCAGACGGATGGAACAGCCGCACTGAAGTGAATGACAACGGAGTGGTGATGGACCACACTGCGCGGTGCGCAGAAGCCTCGGGAGTCGGAGGTGTAGCCGTCCCGTCCCGATAGCGGTCGTAACGGCAACGCCAACCATAGTACCGGCAGCAATAGTTGAGGGAAGACACACGTCGAGAGAGAAGGCGAAACGAGCCACTACAGTGAACTGGCCCCGCGCTTGAAGGGACAGTGACAACGGACAGCATCCAACGGGAAGGGACCCCACCGGACTTCGCCGGTCGCCTTCGCTTTCCTGCGCACATCGGCGGCAACAGGGGTCGTGGCTGTCGTCCATCCCTACATATATCTATCTATCCGTCCGCTCACACTTACTCCCGCGCCAAGACAACAGGTACTCTGATCAGTAAGCATCCTGAACAACACAGGCAGGCAGTCAGGCAGAAGCTGAATATTGAAGGAAATTTAGTTAGTTGATCCTGTGCAACAGTACTAGTGCTAAAAGGTCCGTTAGCATTAATGATCATAACGATAGAAAGAGACGTCACGAAAACCGTGCTGAAAAATACCAAACGTCCCCTTGTATTAATTGCTGTATTTTGTTGATGTGCCGTTCCAGTGCAAAGTCCCGGACGGTTTAACTTGTGTTAGGATTTGAAGTGAGTTCTCCCATATTCTCTATCGAAGTGCGCTTGAATCTTATCAAAGATTTGGATTTCCTGTAGAGCGGCGCAATGGCGCCTATACAACTCTATGTCGTATGGTGAGTTATTCTATATTATGGCACATCCGGATCCTGCAAGATATTTCGAGAAAGGATTTCGGACACCTTCATTTGCGAGCTTGCATATTTACAGGGATTATATATATAGATACTGGGTTTTGTTTTGCACCCAGATGAAGCCTCACAGCATCAGTAGCCTATCCAGATGAAGTAGGAATTATCGCAACTGAACAATTAGTTTGAGTTATGTTCTGTGTACTAGCGGACCCGCAGCTGCGTGCGAGTACGATCTGTGCTAAAAGGTCTGATTGTACTTGTTCGCTTGTAGTCATCTCTTTGTTGGGTTAGGTGTACTGGCCGTGCACGACTCAGTCACTGTTGGACTCGCTACCCTAGCTAAATCTAGGCCGCCGGCGCAGCTTGGCATACCATGCTACATCAACCTGACAGGCTCATCGTCGTACTCAGTTAAGGTGCATCTCGGCAATCGGCCACTGACCGGGGAGGAGTACGTCCCTCATGGCTCTGAATTGCGTTTTCACTGTCCTATTCAACGTTTTTACCGCCTCGTCGGCTCCAACAGCGTACGATGTAATAATGGAAAGTTCGACGAGAAAATACCGCACTGCGAGGCTGTTCTCATCTGTGAGTAGGAAGCACTTGCACTCGGGCAAAGTAGCAACAGTTTTTTTCAATCGACCGATATTGTGCCACTGATTTTAAGGATTAGAGTCTTCAAATAGAAACTGTGATCTACTTAAGGCTTCGCGAAACATACGATAGGCGTGGAAAATCATTCAAGTGAGGTGCTATAGTCTTGAGCGTTAGTGAACGCTAGAAAATAATCATATCAAGTGAACGTAAATGAATAATTTGAATTCTGAACTCCCAGGGTACGCCGTATGCGTTAGCAAGACATGAAAATCTGTCACAATTGTTCTCCTTATCGTTGGCTATTTGTTTCAGCAAACCGCTTGGTCGCGCTAGTTGATACAGAGTACGTTCTGGGTCCAGGAGGTGAATACGTTGTATTTGCTGGCTCTCAAGTTCGAATGAGTTGTTACCATGCCCTTAGTCGAAGTTATCGTCCGTCTTGGCAGTGGGTGGGCAAAGTTGACCACGTCTTCATCGAAGGTAAGTGGACCGGTCTAGAATGGTCTTACACAGATGAGCTTGCTGGAAGTTGTGTAGGCTCGACGTCATGCGCAGCCTAGAACCGGCTGTGTTAGACCCTGCTATCTAGCGCAGTACTCATAAGACATTGCCCTAAATGAGTTGTAGCATTATTCTTTTACATCCTACATTGTCGAGTGGGGGGACAAAAGTGGGTTTACAACGTGTAAGGTTTGGGTTATTTATGCTTCTCTCGCTAGATCAAAGCAGTGGCAGTTATCTTTATTTGAATTAGGGGCAACGTAGCAAAGCATTAGAATTTTACCTCCGAGGCAAAGAGCGGTCTGCGCAAAAAGAACTTCAGGAGTCTCACCTTTTCTTTCTCAGAAATCTCAACCTTTCTGTTTATAATACATTCTGAAGCCATGCGCGATCTACCAAAAAGATCAGGCATTATTTCCAAAGGTCGGTGCAGGCTCTTCAGAACTAAGTAATGTAATCATCTCATTGTTATTTATTCAGAGAGTATGCACTTAATGGGCATGCAAACGATCTAGTGAATTGTTGCACAGTATAGAAAAAGAGGCACACCGCTTAGCGGGCTGATTTGTATAAAGCATGCAGCAACATGTCTATTGTATATTGTGTTTTGTGTCACTAAACCTTCTTGCTCATCATAAACTGTTAGTTTCCATGTACGATCGGTTTATACAGTTGCTATCGGTGATTGATCTACGAATATTTGAAAAAAAAAAAAAAAGATGACATTTATATATATAACATTACTGGACTGACTGTGTGTTCCTATCTTTCAGCTAGTGGTCATCTGGCGACCACTTTGCCGTTTACGTAAAATGATAGAAGCAATAGCAGATTTTACTATAACAGCAGTAAGGCCTTTGCTGTTGCATTGTCTTTAAATTAACCTACTGTCTTTTTTTCAAAGCTGCATTGGTCCATCGCCTGTTCCTGACGACGGCGACGGGGACGACGCTGTGCATCTAACAGAGCCGGTGACTGGGAGGATAAATCATTCTTATTGTTACTGCAATTGTCGTTTTTGTCAAAGACCAAAAAGGGGTTGTTAGACAGAGATGGAGAAAAGATAATCGCTACGATTAATTAACGACAAATGAAAAAAAAATACGAGCAGAAAGTAACTAGCAACTTACCCTAAACATTCGAATAGTTATCAGATGAAACAACATGATAATAAAGGGTAAAATTCGTTTCATTTTCATTTAAAATTTAGTATCATTAACAGCTCCAGGGTGCTACCACACGAGCCGTAAGAGACTTCGTGAAGTTTTATACATGAGAATTAAAATAACAGTGTTACCTATATGCAGATCGATCAATTTTAAGGTGTGAACGTAGCGAAATATCGCTAAGCCGACAAAAACGAAAGGTTGTACGGTAAAAGCGAAATCTCATAGTGGGAAGTATAAAACCGACGAGACCATACACACATTTCAATAGCTCGGTATTTCAGTTCACCAATCGAACGATCGTTAATGATTGAAAAATTACCGTTTTGAACTGCGATAACTTGCAGATAGCGACCGTCTTTTGTCTTTGCTTTCAGAGAGGGTATCGTTTGGCCAAGTAACCGTAATCGTCAAGTTCGAAGCTAAAAATGATACAAATGCCACGTTTACTTGTTCTGATACGACGGACGACATTCACATCAGAATCATCTCAAGACGTATGTCTTTAAACTAAATTATTTACTCTATGGGTCCTACTGAAAAATTATACTAAGAAAAAATTATTATGAATACAAACCACCCAGAAACAAAGATATAACTTTCTCACCCGTTAATCTGTCAACGATCTTGAACCAGTATGTATCTAAAAGTGTCTTGCGGTACCTCACTTCATCCATTTCCGTAGCGCTTCAATGTCCCCCGATCGAAAAATCGAGCGGGCTAGTCGTATCACAGACATCATGGCTTAGGGTGGATTTTGAATGCCCGTCGTCATCGATACTTCTGGGACCGGAATCTGCAAACTGCATGCAGTTCCGCCAGTGGGACGTTTCTGCACCGATCTGCGCTTATCATGGATGTAAAGACCTTTTCTTTTACACTACTTACACAACTTTTGATTCGCTACAAGTCAGTACTCTTTGGCATCTACAATTTAAATTATTTGTTAAAAACATTTGGTAAACTATATTTATGAAATGGTATTTATCTCTGCAGTCCCTCTGGAAGTGGCCAACATGACTATAGTACGATTGTAGCACGTCATTGCAACTCCAGAACGCACAAGGGTGAAAAAAAAAACGTTCGCTGCATACTAAGGATTCGCACGGTTAAGATTCAGCTTCTTAGACAAACCCTATTTAGTCGCAGTGATCAGTACTTACCCTAAATAGTAGCGAGCTAATTCGTTGATTGTCGCAGATTTCAGCATAGAGATATTTATCAATACTTGTACGCGTGACAGAATTATAATAGACCTTTAAATCGTCCCTGTAGAAACTACTGCTACAAATACAATGCAACCTTCTCTCGAAATTTACAATTATTGTTTGTTTTTTAGAAACGTTAACAACAATAAGATAAACTAGAATGTATGTCGCTAACGCACTTAACACGCATAAGTGGTCGTCCAATCTAAAAATTACATGTTACAACAATTTCCTTTTTGCTACCAACAGAATAATTCAATTACAAACCATATCAAAATTGGTTTTTTCTGCGCGTCAGGCCACCGGCGTAAACTGCAGGCGGATGGTACACAAGACGGGGGCCTACTTTTTCCATGCCAACTACCTGAATTATCTGGTGATATGATCGCCCATGCGAGCTCTAGTCGAGTTCTTTCCTATGAGGTTCTCCCGCACGGCGCCGACGTTATGTTCCACTGCCTGGACCTCGGCCGTGTCCAGAGGATCGGTGCTGGGGAAGCCCGGTGCATTAACGGCAATTGGACATCGCCGCCTCCAGTATGTGCCGTACCGGAGAGATCAAGTGAGTGACACTACTAGATCGATGAGGACTGCCATCAAAAGGCGCAGCCCTCTGCGGACGTCACAACTAGCAGAAACTATAGAAAAGCTGCTTTTTGTTTGTAATATTTGTTCCATTAAAAGCACCGAACTTTTTTGCTTTCCAGCTCTTCAAGGAGTTGTATTGGATTTCGATTTCACATATCGATTCGGCCCACTTGGTGTACTTTACGTTGAGCCGAGGTCTGATGTTGTGATCAAATGCATCAGTCCCATGAAACTAATGCCTACACTCAACTACACAGTACTAGACGAACACAATCCCGTGTTTATTATTGAAGCAGGTACTTGTGGATGACATTGAACTAATGAAGAAACATACCTGACGTTATTATGCCAGTGTTTTTTGCAAAACTTCAACAAGCAAAGCGACAAATTTTCATCCATCTGAATTAATGTATACTTTTTAGCTGCTAACTTTTAAAGACATATACGACTCAATGCATGGAAAGCATCAAGATTTGAAGAATTCATATTGTACGCGAGAGCAAGACCGATAATTTGAATCGAAACTCTATCGACGTAATGTTTGATCTATGGATTAACAGTTCCGAATCTGGACTGTTGATAGCTCAGAAACGTTACGTCAAATCAGAAATCAGAGAGGAAAAACTTAAAGCTATTAGCGTAAAGTATATAATGTTTCAGAGGCTGAGGACAGCTCAGCAGTCGCCAAGGTGCTTTCTTTTAACACGGGACCTAAGTTCGACGCTGAGTTTATTTGTACAACGAATGTATCGAATCTTGTGTTCGAAACGCGTTCCGTTAGAATTATGACGCGAGAGGCACGATGCGGTGGTTTTGAGGCTCGTGAAGGCCTACGCTATATGGTCGAAGGTGATCTTGCGGTGTTCGCTTGCGATCCGCCGGGAAGGCTGCTCGGTAGGACCTCAATACAAACTATATTTCAATAATTATTTTACCATTTGTCAACTGCACACGTGAGCTTTCAAGCAGAAAGTTTTGTAAAGCTCTATTGGTACAAAATGCTCATCTTGCAGGATTATATATATTTCTCGCTGTCAATACCTCGCATATTTAACATAAATCGCTAACCAATTGTGTTCCCTAATACTTTGCATTGTGGTAGGCCATTCAATCCTGCGATGCCAAAATGGGGACTGGAATCACGCGCAACCTATCTGCGTATTTCAAGAACGTTGCGAAAATTGGCAAGAGATAGAGCCAGTTTCGGAGGATAAAAAAGGATCGATTTCCGATAAGGGTGAAGGCGAGCAGACGCCAGCGTCCAAGGAGTTTATGGTGCGGACACGCCAGGTTGTCCAGGAGAATGCTACAAATTACAATCGGCAGTCGTTCGGCCAGAAGCCGCTTGACACCGCTTTACCACCGCTCCGACAACCATTAGCACAATACAAACGCCCACTCGCAACTACTTCGACTGCCACTGATGATGACGACGATGTAAGGGAAAAGACAAAAGTGAACTAAAACTAGGTCGATTCCGAAGCACTCTGTCTAGGCCATCTTAATAAAGTGTCCGCCGATATTAATAGGCTCTACTGGGAATCACCGCGTTTATGATCGATGAGTAACTACTTTTTGGCTGGACTTATTAGCTAATAGATGATTAGTTATTCCCGTAGATTTCTTACGGTCTAAAATTATTCTATTTAGTTAAAAACCAACTAAAAATTAAAGGCAATTCATTGTTCGTAATTTACATTAGTTGACCAGAGCGAACATGAAAGGATCGATTCTGAGTTTTCCTTTGATTCGCTAAAACCTACTTCTCGATCGACGTAACGCTGAAGTATAGCCTACCTTGTATCGATATTTTCATGTGAAGTACTTCGGATTTTTCTAGGAAGACTCAGCAGAGGACGACGAAGAATTGAAAAAGCTTGCTGAAGAGGCGGACAAAGAAGATAATGACATCGAGATAGAGGATTCTGATGAAGACGAGGTAAGTGTGTCAAGGTAAATGACCTCTTCACCACTTAATGCATAGGATGGTGCAGTCTTTGCCTAAAGAACTTTGCCTAAGGAAAGAAAGAGTAAAAGCGTAAACATCTAGAATGCATTTATTCATAGGATTCAATTGTCACTACATAGATTGTAACTAAATAGTAACAGAAAGACGCAATTTACTAACACAAGGTCACTTAACACAAAGAAATTGAAAAAAGTAACGAATAAACTTAAATACGGTCTAATTATAGGGTAGACTTCCAATTGTGACAAATGTATACAAATACGTCGATAAACCAAGCAACTAATCACTCTGTAGTAAGTGACAAGGACCCCGACGTCCTATTTCTAGGTGAATTCTGGACGTTTTCTGTATCCTGTTGCGTCGACAACGACGCCTTCTCCGATCCCGTTGACCTGCCCAAAGGATTTTGGTCTATTTCCGCATCCATTGGACTGCCGGCATTTTTTGTACTGTACAGCTGGCTTACCAAAAGTAATGCGTTGCCCCTTGGAGCTTATCTTCAGTCCGTCGGCGCAGATTTGTAAGAATTCGGACGACGCTACTGGATGTTACGCTGACGAATGATCTCAATCATTTTCCACATGTGACGCTTGTAGGAGCGATTTCAGGGCAGGCGTCCCAAGTAACAGAATTACATGTGATTCAGTTTACCTATATTATTGTCTAAAAAACTATACTATTTCGAGATATGGCTAGAAACAATGTGAGAAAATAGGTTTTTTTTTCGGGTAAGTTCAAAAAAGTGTATTGATATTTAGTAAATGAACGGTCACATAGGCGCCGTTAGAAGTGAAAGCCGATTTTTAACAAATCACTTACTAGTTGTAAAATCACAGATATATTAGTATATTTATACGACTGGTATATTATATTGATGCACCCGGTTGGAATGAGAAAACCCAGTGACAGGTTGAGTTTACTGCCACTTGGCGACTTCTGCGGTTGTGACGGAATCGGGCCTGTAATTACACATGATGACGGCGCCCGACTTTCTAGCCTTTAGCAGTTCTGTTTGACGGCACGATGACAGTATCTCATTGTCTGGCTTAACAGCTTTTCAAATGATTTGATACAAATGTATTAAACGTCTGAATAATTTATTATTATGACTTTTTTTTGTAGGAGAAATGTGCGAAGCGTAGAATAAATGGTAATGACTTTGAGCTGTTGGCCGTGTCTCATTCAATATACTGCTGCTAGGACATCCCTTAATAACTCTGACTTCGTTCTATCCAAGGCTATATATCGTAATATTGGCATTACTCGATGCCAACTCTCGACTTTAACCAGTGATGTGATTCCCTGTAACATCATTTCAATAAGCACAGGTTCAAGTCTTCAATAAACATTTTGCCGATCACTAACGGTGTGCAAAGAAACATTAGATCTTATCCTGTTGCCGATTGGCTGTCGAAAAAACAATGGTTTCATGTCCTTTTTATATGGCCGAAACAGGACAACAAAGTGCGTATCACATTTGATTACAATGTGAGCTAACCTACATCGGTGGCCCGGCGGAATTGGAACAATGAAAAATGACCAGTCATAATCCGACCCCAGGAGAGCTAAGCATGAACCAGCTGAAGATCTCCTCCGCGTCTGCAACAGCCTTTTAAGAAGTTTTGTTCGGCTTAGTTAATATATAGCTATATATGATTATATTACCGCGGAGAGGAGATACGCGTTCGCTACTTTCAATTCGCTGTAAGGAAATAGTGTCTGCACAATATCCACACAAAACCCAATATGATGCTTCACAAAGTGCCCCCTCTCAACTGAAAACTGCTGACAACAGGGAGAGAATCAACGACTCACAAAAACATGCCAACAAATAAAACTACAAGGAGTAGGGAACACACACACATATATATATATATACATACATATATATATACATACAAATAATAATACGTAATAACAAAATAATATGAAAGAAAAAATAAAGTGCAAAAACCTCAAGATAATGATAATGCGAGGATCACTCTAACCCTCTGGCCGGCATACAAGCTACCAAAGACGCTGTGATGACTGTCAAACAAAAAGACGACTACTAAACTTCTACTTATTTATCACACATATTTACATATATTTCGTAAATTAGAATATTATTACTTGAAATAATAACAATAATAATAATACGGAAGGATATAATTATTGGTATGTGTCGTACGTTAAACTCGTTCGGGGCAAATTATATTCAAGTCATAATCTTACGATGAATATAACCATCAAATAGTTAGTCTTCTAAACTAACTAAATATTATCTAAATATTATCTATTCTAGCTATTGAATTGCCGTAGTATTTATTAAGCGTTAGCTAATCTTATCGTAGCTAAGAAATCAGTAACCGTGTAATCGCTGGAAAGATGTTGTTTCCGTTACGGCCCGGCGTAGTGCAGACGTCTAACTACACGATTTCCGTGTCCTTTTCAAATGACGACTAGGTAAGTAAGGTAAGGGTCACAGTTGTATCTTGGCCGGGCAAAAAATTAGGCTTACAATTGAAGCAAGTATAGGAGCTAGGTAGGCCTATCATTTACTAGCAGTAAGTGTCCTACGATTGAGGAGGACTTGTTGACGGATTTGGCGCTTGGTTGTTGTACAAATGTGTAGCAAAGATAGTCAATAAGTTGCATCAAATAATAGTTAAAATGAATATCTGTATTTCCAATGCCACCTTCGGTACTGGCGTTAGCATAGCTTCAGATAATGGGGCATAGACATACTCGAGGAATGAATTTTTCAAAATCCATAAAATTCATATTTTTAATATTAATTGAGAACGAGCTATAAATATTCCACAGTTATGCTATATGTACATTTTAAATACCGAACAAAAAATAGTCATCCGGATACTTCGCCTTTACTAGTACGTTTGTCCTGTTTAGCATGTGCAATGTTTACACAGGAAAAATTCAGGGACACATCTGTATGTCGCAGGCAATTTTTTTCTATAAAATGTAGCTTATTAGGTATACGTCAGTAAGTAGAAAAGTATTGGTTTCTTCTCTCACTGATTTCACTAGCCGCCGCTGTATTTTCGAATACCGCTGATACTCTGTCTAAATCCGACAACTACCGTAATCTCTACTTCGAATTTCTACCGTTTCAGCGAATCGGGATAGGTAGATACTGAAAGGCCTGAGATGATTGTATTACAATCAATGAGTCACCATATTATGATTTACTACGACAAAATACAGTGAGTTATAGAAAGCATCTCAAAAACTGCGCTACCTAAACCTGGTAGACAGCCTTTATTTCTAGACGCGCCAGGCCAGATGATGACCTGACGACATCGATACCTTGCCGACAAACGTGTAAAAAACAATTTCGAAGCGTTATAAGGCCATCCAGTGATTATTGTCGGTGACTGTTATTATTATTATTATATAGTCTTGTGGTAAGCTATTTTGTTTTTCATACGTTCGACCAAGAAGAAATTTGTTTTTGGTTGATGACGAAGTGTGGCATGCCTTTCTTTCTTCTATTGTGGACTCTGACTATAGAATAGGACTTTTAGCATTGACGAAGGTAATGAATATCGTGCCAATCGAGCGACTTGCAGCGCTTAAACGACACTAAGAAGCGATCTTTAATCGTAACAATTTTATAACCCGAGGTGTCTGGAAGAGAAGTTGTTCTTTGGACGTAAGTGATGCATCAGGGTACCTCAAAAAAGGAGCTGACAGAAACAGCAGGAGAATGTCTGCGTTTCGGGCAAGTAAAGTAAGGCCCACAAGGAACGATGGACCAAACAGGAAACTCAAAAAGGCGGCCGAACTAATTCTTATAATTCGAGGTGATCTTTTTGTAGCATCGTTCTGCATTTTCAAAAAACCGTTCAGGAAACTTGTGTGTTCGACCCGTTAGCTAATAATTTCAAAATCAACTTTCCAATCCGAAGACGCCGGGAAGAACACCGTTTACGAGCCAACAGCTGATCCCGATGTGGAGACTGATATGAAGTACAGGCTTGACTGAACTATACCTCCATCTATTAAGCGCCTAGAAAGTTCTTATGACAATAAGCAAATGAGGTGATCAGGGTAACTTTAAAATACATTTTCAGAAGTTTTCAAGGCACACTTGCTTCAAGCATGATGCAAAGAGGTTTCGCAGCGATAAACGATAGTTAAATGTAATAATACACACATTTCAGCATAATAATTTGAACGTAGGCTGTCAAAAGTAATGTAACACAACACAGTTTAAACACAATAGACTTAAGTTTTACATGCTTCGTATACTGTGCTATAGGTTAACTTTCTAAGTATTTCATGCATTTAGGAATGAACGAATATTTCCGTTCAAAAATAGCTGTTTATAACCGATCGAACGTCTTCCTTAATACAGCTATTCATTTTGATCTCACTGTTTGCCAAGAGGCCATTTGACCCTGTGTGCATAAGCATATGATAAAATCAACCGGTGCGATTCCAACCAGATTTGATGTTAACCGAGAATGCCAGAAAATCAAAGTTACGTCTGTTTCACACAAGTGTTTTCCTCCTAAAGACTCACCCATATAGACTTAAGGTAGCCAGAGTACCTTAAGTGCTTACAGGTTATCACAATGCAGGAGCCTTAAATGTCTTAAACCTGGTCACACGAGTGTCAGCAGGGATTAAATTATTCAGAAAGTGGCTCGTGAAAGGATAAGCTGGGTAGAATAAAAATATTGCTAGACTGATCTTCCCTTCTGATGTCTTTGCTGGTGTCCTAGCAACGCTCCATATCTTGAGCTGCCCATCGGCCAACATCGAATGAAGTTGTCTGAATTCAGCCAGTCTTCAGCCAATGCTAGGTACACCTGCACGCGTCAAAGGCGCGTCGAATCTATCGAATAAACTGACCGCACGTAGATCATACATAAATTGGGTAGAACATAAATTCGTATAAGCATAAACTCAAAATAGCCTCAGAATTTAGCTTAGCAATAAACAAACAAGTTTGTCCAGTCTGAGAAAAATACATCTCACGTTGAGTGTACGATGATGTCGGGTCCAAGTAAACTGACAGCTAGTACCCGGCTTGTGTAAGGTAGAGAAACAAAATACTGATTAAAATTAACAAAAAAAATGTTAAGGCTAGGTCGATTTGAGGACTTCTTTTCTCGTATAGCTTAAGTCGGGCAATTAAAAACGAATTCAAGGGAATACCATCATAGTACGAGTGGGAGAACGAGCTAAGAGTGAGAAGAACTTGAAATCGTACATACGTGGATTATATTTTTACGGATTATACGGATTGTGCCGGTGATTATGTGCGATCCAGCAAGTCGGATGAACGATTAATCTCTAGTTATTACCTCTTAACTTAGTCGTTTTAGAAAAAAATGCTGTTTGTAGAGACCACCGACCACAAGTGGCATTATAGATTTAAGGTCGATCCTGCATGCTGTTGTCATTATGTTACCTGGAAGTAAGCAAAGCAAGGGCCGGAATAGATTTGCTTTAGCTAGTCATGAATAAGTATTTTGTAAAAAGCAGACAAAGTTTACGCTATTTTGTCTCGTTAGCAAGACACCGCGTAGAGGTAGGTCCTTAATGCTGACCTGGAAAGGTAATTCGGAGGACTTGTTTGCGTAGAGAGAATAGCTGAAAATGGCAAAAAAAAAAGATATATAATTAGAGAAATATGAACAAGCTCCTCTCTACAATTAACGACTGGTTCGTACATTTTCCGGCTGGGATATGTCCAGCCTAAGTCTAACTTTAGTTTGTTTGTTCGTTCGTTTCAGATTATTGCGTCAGAAACAGCAGTTTGCTGTTACCCCACAAAATGCACACGTCGCCCTAAATATGACCAGAGTGTTTCGTGTATTAATATTTACTATTTTTTTTTTACCGCAAGTTAGTATGTTACAGATAAATGTTATAATCTGGCCGTAGTAATCCATGTCGATAATTATAACGATAAGTAAATTGTTCGTTGGTATCTTATTTTCTATTGACGCTTAAGAGAATTTTTCTCCGGCTCAAGCTTCTTTTTCTTGTCGATTAAATTCGTACTATTTGAGATTTTTTTTTTTGAAATTAAAGGTATCACAGAGCTGTTTGCTAAATTGCTCGATACGCATCACTGATTCGATTGCAACTCTGTATACATACGGTATTTAATAAGCGACATCTGGAAATGGTAAGTACAAAATCGGACTGCTTGCGAACAGATTGCAGAGGGTACCATCTATATGGTAGGATTTTTATGATCAATATATGCTGAAGGTCACACAATTTGCCCTCTGTTATTATTAGTAAACGTTGTTTGAAAGATGCTTGATCATGGTCCAGTCAGTCGGCCACCTGCGTTCAAAATGACCGCCAGTAATAAAATGGCGTCAAAATCAGAGGCAATCCTTGTTGATGCTATGCTCTAGCTAATTTCAATACATATGTTTAATTGGTGAAAATATTTTTTCAACAGCTTTTACTGTCTATAAGAATTGTTAGAGTGCAATCTAAAAATATATTCAGTAACTGGCGCACTTATCCAGCCGTGTACAGTCCTGAATACCCGGATCGGCATTGGCCACTTTTTTGTGTCGCTAAAAGCTGTTTTTTTTCTTTCTAAATATATTTCGTTTGAATATTATGATGCTAATTACTAAATATTTAGGGGCGTATTCCTTACTACTTAACAAATACTTTGTAGTAACCGATAGGACTAATTGGCCACAATTCGAAGCGTTCATGGAAACGGGGCTCATCCTTTGGAACTAACACAAATTAATAGTATATTTTGATAATTTAGTTGATAATAACAATTTTGTCATTAAACGCTCTTAACATATAATTTATAAGCGGACTAAATTTTTAGCTTTAGATTAATTATTAATGTTCTTTTTTTTATTTATATTTAAAGCGAAATATTTCAAAGGGTCGGAATTTTGGCCATTTCATTTGTCGACGAAATGGGTCATTTCCCTTGGACGGAAATATTCATTTTCGGCGCATTCCAGGCAAATTATTAAACAATTAAGTATACATTCAGGAAGTATCAGTCATTGTTTTTAACCCCAAATCTGTTGCTTTATTTTAGTGTAGCTATAATAGTCACAATATTTGATCTGAACTCTCTACTCCTTGATCATTTTGCCGCCTTGGATTCGAAAACCTACGCCTATTTGCCATCCATTCTATTACAAACATGATCAACTTATGGTTGAATACTTCACTAAATTACTACTATACTGCAAAATGCCTCAAAGTTAAATCTAAAACAAATCATTGTTAGCTTCAATGGCAGGTTTTAATGTACCTTGTAGAAGATTAACTAACAATAGACTAATGCCAATCAGGCGAAGGTTTTTTTCACACGTAACTGAATGCGGTTACATATATATGTATGTATGTATGGCTGATGACTCCGACTTCTTCACTGATTCTCCAGTCTTTCTTTCCGCTAACTCAAATGTCTGTCATTTATATATTAGTAGAAACATAACCAGCGTTCGGCGCTACACAAGAAGCCGTAGCATTAGACGTCAGAATCTGTGAAACAAATCAAATTTCTGACGGCACAATTTGAGGACATCACCGGAGAAAAAATAGCCGCATTGGAAATGTTCCCCCGGAAAATTGAGGTGGTGATATCGCTCAGAATACACTTAGAGAGAAATTATAATTTCTCACTAAGGTACAGAGAAATTCACAGAACAGCACAACCTAAATGATCTTGACAAAACAGGTCGAGCTAATGATTATGAACCCACTGGCAAGATCAGTTTGTCCTGATAGTTTTCCGCACACCGTAAAGATACGTACTATTATGCATAATAGGTACAACTTTTCTAACTTCGAGTTATCTTTCTTCATCGACAGGCACCGCACACAGGTCCAGCAGCAGCAGCTGGCACTTCGTAAAGCGATTACAGTGCCATAGCATTTTCGACGTCTGCTGGCAGCCATAAATCCCGTGAAAGTATCAACCAAAAAATCCTCTGCGCAGTACTAGCTTCTTAGGTGTTTTTCTTAGTTCGTTAAATGTAAATTCATTGGTAAGGGAGCGCTATTTCATCCAAGTCGGCTCACAGCCATTCGTGGAATACACAACACAAATATCATAGAGTCTACTAAAAATTTCCTGTAGTATTCTTAAGATCTCGGCGACGTCATATATTGTTCTATAGCTGCGCTTCTTCTCCTTCACGGCCATGGAACCTCCAAAAATTAAGCCGATGTCTCCTCGTCGTCGTCGTCGTCGTCGTCAGCCTCCTCAAAAGAGCATTCGTTCTTCCAGTTTTTCCCCTGTCGATTCTCTAAAGAACTACCGAATCGTATTACGAACTAGATTCCTGTCTACGTCTAACAGGTTCTACGAATATCTGGGTAGGTCTTACAAAAATCCGTCTGTATTATGCGAAGCTACTGGGATTTTTCCTATGAAGAGCTGAAGACCTGGCATCAGAAGAGCGCAGCAATGAACCGTGCTGATGCCTAAAAAGCCGCTCGTCCAAGCGCGATTAAAGGAAGCATAAATTAGAAAAAATGGTGTTTGATGCACCAACAGGTGAAAATAAACACGGCTAGCGTACCCTAATCAGTCATCTAGAATGGCCGTGTACAAGTATTTACTTGCCAGTCTTTATTTCCATGGTTATCTTTTTCATATTGTACCTGAGATTGGTCAATAATTGGTATCGTCTTAATGAGATTGGCTATATATTGTAAGATGCAACAGCAGTACATTGCGGAGGTGTAGGTAATAAAGCTAATACGTGCCTACAAATTAAGCCTTGTTAATATATGTATGCCTTCGATAGTAAAGAACTGTTGAGTTACGAGGCAGCAGAAAAAAGTTACGCTTTTGTGAAACAGCTGATAGTGAGATATTGACATCAATCGGCATAGAAATAGTTTAAGTTCCCAAACGAAAAAGGTTATCTCTGGAAATGGTAGCATAGGGAAGCCTATATATAGTTTTAACATCAATGCCTCGAATTCGATGGGGTAAGTTAAAAAGAAACCTTCAAGATTCTACCTCGTAGAATGATTCGCCGCGACCTAGGTCGAATACACTGTTACCTATTTATTTTACATTGCTCTGTTTTTAAATATTTTAGATACTCTTTGTTGTTCCCGAGTCTTTAAGGTTGCTTTAAAGACACAATAGTTCCTTAGGTAAACGTTTATTGGAAACATTTTACTAACACTCATTTCGCCATTATTCAAAATCAATAGATAAACAGTGATGAGAATAATGCATCCTATGACCATGTGTAAATAAATGTACTTGATATTTTGAAACGTGTTCATAGACACGCCCATGGTATACAATTATCTAATAAAGCGGTATCAAATATTTACATTAAGTTTTGTAATATGTTATCGCTTTGGTAATAATTCATATATTTATGGTTATTTAAATTTTTTAAAATTAATTTTACTTAATTTTTTTAAAAAAATATAGCTATTTTTTGAGCCTAACTGTTTACTTGAAGGCAAGCAGGCTTTGAAAGACGACGCGACTAGATTGAAACCTTTAATTTGCTGTACGAATCATAATGCTACCCAGAAACAAGGTGCCCCTGAAAAAGGGTACCTCAAAGAGAGTCCTGGAAAAGGCTGAAAATGCTGTGTCACCTTACACCTGTATTTACACTTCTATCAGTACCACCAGCGCATTTGAAGCTTAATATAATAATTTCTCGAGAAATCATCTTTTAAAAGAAAATGATTTCTTAGAAAGTTTAATTCCCTTTTTTTTTTGAATTTTCGTAGTTAATCAGAAAATGGCTCTCAATAATTCCCGGCAATTACTGCCTGGTTGAAAAAAATGAGGGGTCACTAAGTTTAGCCTCCAGCCTCGTCAGCGATATAGACGACACAACACTGATAAATAAAGAAGTCAATTGACGATTTTCTGTTATGAACTGCACAGTGCTAGACACAACGTTATGTCTCTGTGCGATACTATAAAAAGTTATGGAGGTTGTGGTCTGTAAACACGGTCAGCTTCCACTCCAGGCGTGAAAGTCGGCTTCTACCAGAAGACTATTCTTTTTCTTTTTGTTGAGTTTTTTTCATCGTTTATATCAGCAGTCAACAAGCATCAGGCACTGCCGGCTTCACAGTAGCCAAGAGCACTAATTTTAGCAGCCGATTGGCACAAGACCAGCGTAAACTTGAAGGACAGCAAGATCAGTTCAGATCACATTAAATGATCACATCATCATCAGTATCATCATATACCACGATGTCTACTAGCTTGAAATGTTCGTCCTGTTGGTATGGCCTGTATCGTACTTAATTTATGTTTGCTTATAATGTATGTTTACGTGTAATGTTCGATCTTTGGCTGACAACGTGCATGCCCGTGTTTCCAGGTCTATTCAATCGTCCATTGTGAAACAAACTAGGGAAAAGCTATAGCACCAATTCGTATATGTCGTATACTATAACGTTGTCAACCTGCGTCAATCTGCGATGGGGCCCGTGCCACTGCGCTTACCCCACTCAGGTCGAGCAAAACGCACGAAAGGCGTTCATTGAAGCATCGTCGTTTCGACGACAGCAACAACAACAACACAACTCCCACGCAACCTTGACAATGAATCGCGCGTCCTGTCGATCGCCTAATACGGACTACATTCTATGACTTCAGCATAGTGAAGTTTCGCAAACATTTTCGCATCTCGCTGGCTTTGTTCATCAAAAAAAAAGTGATTGTACAATATCATTATAATTAATACTGTAGTTGTGTGTAGCTGGCTTCACTAATTGACTGTTAGGCCCGGCGGCATATTCCCTTGCTCGTGCCACTGCCGCCACGGTTTTCTCAACTGTTTCTGTTTGCTACGACCGCTGTAGAAACAGACGGGTGACGATATGGGTTTGGTTCACGTACCGTCGTCGTCGTTGTCTAAGCTTCGCGCGCATCTCTTGCGTCGTCAGCCCCTGCAGTTTGTATTTAGTCGACGAAAACTGCCATACCATGTAGGCTAGTCGATGGATGTGTGCGTGTAGCTTCCTACGTAATGTCACAGTTGTTGATCTGGAGCTTCTTACTCTCTGTTACAGATATATCACGTACTCCCTTGCCGATTATGTGAATGTATGTTAGCCTGCAGCTAGGTAAGACTAGCCGCTTGATCTACGGCTCTTGCTGTTGAGCGCTGAAGGCTTTGTTGCCGTATGGCGCTCTGATCGCAAGCCAGCTTCACAAATGGTTCTTGTTGATGCTTTGATAGTGAGCATCGGTGCGCTCTCTACGACTGCAACCTTCTTCTTACCAAGTGCTTGCCTTTCCGCTCTTCTCGCTGAACCCGGAACCGCGCATCGGTTCACATGGGACGGCCTTCGGCCTATTTCATTCGTAGCTTAGCTGTTTTCCTTGAGCTGCCTTAACTGTTTACGTAGGACTAGCTGTTCTAGTGGAAACAGTTAGCCCCTCTGCTTGTTTTGCTTGCTGACTCTCTGATTCAGATTGGTAGTGCTGTGACCGGTACGAATCAGCGAACAAGTAAATAAGTTGTTTCGTTAGCGTGAAGAATTTTTAATTCGAGTGCGTGATTTTGGAGTGAGGGAAGAGTGTGTGTCCGCTGCCGTGCGAGCCTCGGTTGGGTGACCGACCATGATGAGGCCGCTCGGTAATATCGCAACCACTGGGATATTTTGGGTCGGTGTCCTAAATATCCTTGTTTGCCTTAACGAACGCGCAGAGGCGCGCCTAAAAAAGGAGGAATTGACTCCTCTCGGTGACGATGGTGAAGTTATACCTGAAGTGAATGGGAAGAAACTTGAATCGCTGCTTGAAACCGAGGAGTACCTGGCTGTCTTCTTTTGTAAGTACCAATATGGCCACAACGATAAAAGGCCAGTTCAATATAACTATGGGAAAATCGATGAGCAGGCAATCTGAGAAACGTGCGTGTTCCTCCCTGAAAGATCAACACTCACTTGTAGGAAGCTTGTTGAATTGGGAATTGAAGCAATTTACCAAGTCATGTTCAGTATTACTTAAGTGGAGCGTGTGCGGGCCGGCTAGTTAGTACCGAATTACTGCCACTATCTGTGCACTTGAGGACCTCAAGTGCAAGCGCGGTAAGCGTCGAGCACAAGTGGTCCAATGATTTCTTAAGTGATCCTTTTACTGTCAACCAAAAGATACCAATGCACCATTCAAATGGATATGTCAGGATTTACACAAGTAACTTTTTGAGCGACGACTTGCTTGGAGGTTTTCACGGCTTTGCTATACCAAATGTCCATAGCCAAGCTTCAACAGAGGATTTTATCGCTTTAGATAAAACGAAACAAAACATGATCGATATGTTTAGGACTTAATTCTTGGGTTTTTCCGCAAATACGTCCGCATTGTGACCAATGGAAAACAGCTAAACGTTGAGGACGGTAGATATTTTGCTGGCATTGCAAACGAATAGTTCAGCCTACGCCAGCGAAAGCATGGCTTAAGGACCCTAAGCTCTCAGTCATTGAGGACTAACAGAGCCCGAACTAGCTGCCCCTCCCTTATGTGATGGGACCAAAGACCCATTAAAAAACAGTAACAACATCGTTCGAAAACGACAGACCTCTTTACGAGACATCGCCAAACAATACTTTGTTGATTCGATATATCTCCTCGGTCGTATACATGCTGATGATTTCATGTTGGGTTCCTAAGTGGTCATGAATTTATTGGTTGGTCATTGATCCGACGTTTAAAATCAGTTCGATATCGTCTTGTTGATTTTATCCACTACTATTAAAAACTAATTCATATGAAAAAATTGATACATTTTAATAAACTGCAGGTTTATTGCCGGATAGGCACCAGTCAGCTAGTGCACGATGAATGAGTGCAGGATTCTACTTAGGAATATTTCCTCCGGTGCCTATGTATGTACATCACGTAGAGAATATTCCAACTTCGGATTAGATGTTTTTTCAGATATTAGTGAGGTAACAACAACCCTCCTAAAAATCGCAGAGAATGCTTTTTATTAAAGGAGCGAGAACGCATACTAGAGAGTAACCTTTTTGCTCTGGATTGTTGACTAAACGCATAATAGAAATACGTTTTAAATTACTTTTGGCTTCTTCGAGATCATCACTGATGTTGCAGCGAGACGCCTTCCTGATTAGGAGGGTATTATTATTAAGGTACGTACACAATACACGGGGTGTTCCGTCACGTGCTTGGCTGATGACTGTACGACATTTACTGTATATTATCTTTTTTACGGCGGATCTGGTCTATGGCGAGCCCTTCTGGGGTATTATTAGCGAGCATCTGTAAACTTAGACATTTTTCCCAAGGTCTTCGGGCTGTGTGGTATACAATACAGGGTAATGATAGTTCACACACGTTTGTCTACAAATATCATTCTGCTATCGTTACTAATTTTATGCATCGTATATGAGAACATATAAACGAATTTCAAGCTTGAAACGTATGAAATAACAGGTCGCCGAGAAACAGTGAGAGATCTATAGAAATTCGTTTAATAGTATTGATTCGCACGTATAGATATGAAAAAATGTTGGAAAATGACCAGGTTACCAGGGGTTGGCTCTAAATACGCTAAGCCCAACCTAAGCCTGATGTGCAAGAAGCCCTCTGTCTATTACGAGTCCTGGCTGAAAGAGGCAGCAAATTCAGTTTGTCATAGCGATCCCGTGTCATAACGTGTCAAGAGTGCAAACTCTTCACAATGCGTCGAATTACACTGTAGATAATTACTATGTACTTTGCAATGAGCGAGCTGAGTACCAAAGCGATGCTTTTTATAGTCGATCTGTGAATAGCGTCGGTGGTTACGGAGCAGATATATAATATTCGAAGTTATTTAAGGCTCTACTTGGTTGTACCTAGATGTTTCCCTTTGTTCTTGCACGCGAAAGCAATTTAATCATCATATACTAGTGAAAATGGCCAACACTCATGATGGAATCAAATCACATTTTAATAAGCGTTACATCGTATTAATAAACTTAATTAATTGTGTTTCTAACGCGCAATATCACAAGAGTAGCAATGTACGCTTGGCGCAAAGGGTGCCAGCAAGATCATATATGAAACCATTTAATATTTGAGACGATCAGCGTAAGTTTGTTTATGTTTTCTGCGTGCAGTTATTGCGCAGAAGGTATTGTTCGGTCCCAACGCAGACGTCAAGCGTGTATGATTGATTGCTTCTTTCCAAGCATCACTGCTTTTCCAGATCTTGAAGCTTTGCAGAATCTTGTTCCTATACTGTGGCGGAAAAAAGATCGGGCCTAAGTTTTTTGCGCCAAATCTTCCACTAAGCACAAACGGTAGTCACGTAGAGACATTTGTATCAAACGTGGTGCGATAACCAGTGCAAACAAGTTTACGTTAAAGGAACAATCGTTTGTGCGAAAAGGCTTCAGAACTCTGAACTGTAACAGTCCAGCGGGCAGCATTGCATGCGGCATGAACACATACACGTGCATGCATGCATTCGTAAATGGCAGAGCTCTAAAGCGCCTTGAAAACTTTTCTTGGCTCAAGAGGCGATCGGCTGTGGGTCGATAATTCTATTTCAGATTATACGTTTTGCCCCTGTTCCTTGTTCTTAGACTACTGTTGCCCTGATGGCGGCGGGCAGTTCAGCATCTGTATTTGCTTGTGTCTGACCAAAATGCAGCCTTCAGGCTGTGGGTTCCTCAACAGAAAGCTAACAATGCTATTGATGCAAAGGCAGATATTCCGTCTACCTCACTACAGACACTGTAGCACCTAGATCGAGTATTCGTCGAAATGTCGACGCCGACTGTGGGTCAGAGAGTGCGTTCTGAGGAAGGTACTATGACAGTCGAATCGTTTTACTACGACTAAAATGTCGACAAAGTGAAATAACAAAATTATGTCATTTAGTCAAAACACATAAAACCATGACGGCCGGTATTAGCAGAGCCACCCATTTTCAGCTCTATCCTACATATCAAAGCCGACGAAGAGGCTGAAGTCCGTGAGGCTGCACCATTATGCTGCTGTCGGCCCCCATTCCACTTGACGATGGTGAAAAGTTGTTGCTTTAAAGCTTACGTCGTTCCAAAAAGCAAGGAAAATCACACGTTGCTGATGCATTGCTCTAATATAAGATTTGGCAGAAGTCAATAGTTCAACAAGCACCGATATTCAGTTCTGTACTTATTGACGATTGACAGATAACTTCATTGTAGAACTGGGTTTAATACCTCAGCTAGTAAAAAAAAGAAGTTCTCCCTGTTATGCCTCTGAGTAGCAATACGAGTAGACAGAATACTGTTTTACTATTACTCTGGTCAGAAACCGCATAAATCCTAAACAAAACTGGCAGACCGAGGTAAAACTTAATTAGGATCGAAACGCTAGATTCGATTCCCGTACAAAGTTATTTCGCTGAATCGATAACTGCGAAAAGAACGGAAGCAATTGAAATTATAGTTTTGTCATTACACGTTTTCAGCCTGTAACTATGAAGTCACTCGGTCTACTGGTGCAAGACACAGGAGCCACAGAAAGGAATATTATATTATATATTATTTCGTCAGTTCCCTCTTCGACCAAACCGGTGTCCTGGTATTACGATTAGTACCTTTAGGCTTAGGATTAGGATATATAAAAAACCGTAGAGCAAAAGTCGACTTCTAAGGAAAAATAAGTTTACTGTTTCAGTGTAATTCTGTGCAGTGAATTACCGGTACGTAGAAAATAAGTGGGCGGTTCTCCAATACTTCGAACTCTATTCCGGTGTGAAAACAGTATTTATTCAATGTTCAGTATAGTTGTGCTTTGAGGAGGCAATTTGTTTTCCAACGAGGTGCTCTTATTTCCAATTTTCAGCGGCAAAAATGGGCTATCATGCTAAAAGTGCTCAGCGAGGAAGACATTCTACCCATGACAAACGTGTGAGGATGGTCATACATTGCTAGCACACCTAAAGGCATTAACGAAAAAGGAGGTCAGTTGCTTGGGGACGGTTCTTTAAGCACACGATTTTACGATCTCATCGTCGCACTCTCCAGTGCGACGGTGAGATCATAAAACTAGAACACAGAAGACATCATATGGTGACGAAGCACTGAATAATGGTATTAATAGATGCCATGCATATTCTACAACGTAAAACAAACATGTTTCGTGTGCGGCAGCTATGAGTGTGAGAACATTAGCAGACAGACGTTGAAATCGATTTTGTGACTTGGACGACGCTGATTACCACATATTTATGGTGTTTGGCAACCTTTATTATTACGCTGCTGCTTCTTCAGTTAAGGCCTCTAAGCAAGTGTCGCCTCTTCAATCTCGAAAATTCGATTGAATCGGTACCCTGGGGATTGCGTCTCGTAAACTCAGAATCGCAGCCTGCGTTCGTTGCGTGGGTGCAAGGGGTAGGTTGGCCAGGTGGGAAAGGGACCTTGAGCGAAGGGAAGGGGAGTGAGTTGACAACGCGGAAGTTCATGGCGGGTCCTATGACGACTTTAGCCCGTTGAAGGTGAAGCTTAAATTCGTAGCGAATATGTATTTCGGGGTTGTTTTTCTGCAACATCGAGACAGGCATTTCACTGTGATTATTTGATGAAAAAAAAAAGTATACGTTTAGTTTTGAATACGACGTCAAGCAAATTTTTAAAGCACCAGTATGTTTCGGAGGTAAATAGTAAAAATAAATGCCATATCGTACTTGCACTCGGTGAGTGTCATACGTATGTTGAAAACTTGTTAGACAGTGTTAGTAAACAGGACATTTCTGCTACACCCCTTCTAGGTGCGTCTCGAACGTATATAACATTTCCTAAATATTTGAAACTTTGTTTGATTGTCCAAAAATTATGATTGTTTCTGTTGTAGATTAATGCAGTGTAAGGAAGTAATATTCAATTTTCTTATAATATAACTAACTCGATTAGCCGTTTTGCTTAAACAAAGTGGCCAGTAAAACTCAGCGGGCCCGTGAGAGCTTCGTTCTGTCATGGTTGATGCACAACTCTTAAAGGACATGACAATCTCATGTGTGTGTTATAAATTATTTTTAGGACTAGAATTTTTTTTGCCACGCTCAATTGGCAGACCAGGGTCCGCTGTGTTGCCTGAGCTTGTGCCACAGTTGGAGTTCTAAAGCGGTGGTCTGAACCTCGATATTAAAAAAAATAAACATTAAGGAAGAGCATGTGTGTGTGTGAAAAAGAACGTACAGTTTATTCTGATCGGTCGATATTTATATTAATGACACCTAGCGCCATGGGGGTCGGCTGGGACGTTGCCGTCCCAGATGTTCCTGTTCCTTAACTGCGCGGCGGGCGGCCTTGCAGTTAGGGAAGAGTACCATCTGACCTTGGCGTACCGGAAGGCCGAAAAAAGCTAGCAAAAGGCCATGAATTTAGAAGCTTATTTTCAACAAACAACAGCAGGTATATATAGCAGAGGAAGAATGAAATTTTTCCTAATTTAAAGTTTGTCACTTAATGTTGCCAGTCGTTGTACGTTAGAACTGCGTTCATATTCATTAGAATTCATTGATATTGACGTAGCTTTTCTGTTTCAGCCTTTAGCATTGTTTAAAGATGAATAATTTGTATCTATATCTATATATATATATATATATATATATATTTTTTTTTTTAAGCAATACTTATATTGTATTTCTTAAAAAAAGACTAACTTGTGCAATCATAATAAAGATGTTAAATTTATTATATTTTCTATCAAGTGATGAGCCTCTCTTACTACGAGAAGCAGATTAAACTTTTTAACATGTTTTCCAATAACTACCTCTTAAACGAACGCATGTTCCATAATAAATAACTCGATACTTTTAGTAAATCTAAGCTAGATATTTCGGGTTTTACGTTTGGTACCACTGTTAGGCATACCATCAAACAGGTGAATAGCAAACAAAGTCTGACAACGCTCTGATTCGATCCCAGACCACCAGAACCCCCTCATGTCCTTCCTCCATCACTGGGACAACTTTATTACAATGATTTGTTGAATGGACGATATGGATATTTGTATTAAAAGCATCTATGCGATTTTCTTTTCTCCAAAAGACACGAAAATTTGCAAGACATGCGAATCCATTTTAGCGGAGCTGGAACATATAAATGATGATGCAGAACGATTTGGAGTCCGTTTTGTTAAGAATGGAGAGCGCGCCGTGGCCAAGAAGCTGCTCGGAATTACGCAGTTCCCTGCACTCGCCTACTATAGGTAAGAGAATATTAATAAAGAACCTGCTTCTTATATTATTTTGAGACTTTCCACTTTACTGCAGACAGTCGTGTATCCATTCATAGTTGTCTATGTGCTATTGTTTGTCAACAATCTCTCACGTTAGGAACCAAGAACCACAGCTCTTTAGCGGTGACCTGATGGACGAGACGGCTGTATTAGAATGGTTAACTAACCTCGAGGCGATGGAACTAGCAGATAAAATTGAGGAAGTAAATGGAAAAATTCTCGAGACCCTGATCAAGGAAAAAGATTACCTCGCTGTCCTCTTTTGTAAGTTATAACTAACTTAACACTTTGGAGTTGTATGATCGAAACCGCAACTATCAGCAACTTTTCAAGATATATTTGCATATATATATATATATATATATATATACATACATACAACGCGCAATTTCAACAACGGGATTCGCATCCGTAACAACGAGCGGCTAGGTACGTGTGAGATCATAATGAATCTGGCTGTAAAAAGTACACTTAATCATTCGTTTTTTTCTTTGTTCACAGACAAAGATAAGCACAAGGAGTCTGAGCTAGTCCTTGTTGAGCTGGAAAACATTGACGACGAAGCAGATCAATTAGGCATTGGTTTTGTTAAGACTTCGGAAAAGGAGCTGTTTGATAAGTACGGTCTAGATAATATCCCGGCGCTTGCTTACTACCGCAAGACAATTCCACTGTTGTACGAGGGCGATCTGAACAACGAAGAAGAAGTACTTAAATGGCTAGAAGAATTTAAGAACGTCGACGATGAAGATGACGATGTGATTGAGGACATGTCCGCCGATGGACTTGAAAGTCTCATCGATAAGACAGATATCATTGCTGTCTTTGTTTGTGAGTCTTCCATTTACTTACTGATTGTTACTTCGGCGATTTATCTACTAATCAGCTGGTATCGTAACGTACATAGGGTACGACGATTTATAAGATGGGACATTTTGCATGCTTTATATCTGATATAGACGTGTGAACTGAGTACGCTATTTGATTATTATTATTACAGATGATTCGAACGATGCAGCCCAAAAACAGATCCTGGATGAGTTGGAGACCATTGATGACGATCTTGACCAGCATGGAATCCCCTTCGTGAAGACCGACGACATAGAATTCGTTAAAAAATACGGCTTTAAATCCGCTGATCTACCGCTACTCATCTATTTTGAAAATGGAATTCCGCAGTTCTATAAAGGTAGTAGAAAATTTAGCTTCACTCCCTTCTGTCATGTAGGACAAAACAAGCTGCGAACCATTATACGATTGGAGTGATTGTGTAGGATAAATTTCAGTTCAGAACAGGGTATAAGTCAGCCTGCTTTACAGATGACATGCAGAACGAGGAGCGAATTATGAACTGGCTTGTAGAGCAAAAGATGGAGGATGAAATCGAAGAAGTTTCGGAGGATGTCCTTCAGGAGCTCATCGAAAGCTCAGATTACCTTGCCGTGCTGATTTGTAAGTTGATCAGGATTTCTTTTCTACGCAATAACATTACCTCTTGAAACTTGATTATCTAACATCACGTAGCAGAAATATGGGATCGAGGCCCCACTCGCCTGCTGAGATCCGTTGCAGGTGTGTGCATATCTGAAGTTTCGCATAGTTTGACTTCGAAGAAACACGTTACCGATGGCGACACTTAGTATAGTGATTTTGCTGATTGGCCTTCAGACGACGCTGGCGATGAAAAGAGCGAAGACGTGCTAGCAGAGCTTGAAAGCATCGATGACGAATGTGATCAGCATGATATTCCATTCGTGAAGGTTGACGATCCCGATGTAGTCAAACAGTTTGGCGTAGACGTAGTCCCAGCACTGCTTTACTTTGAAGCGGGCATTCCCAATTACTATCCAGGTAAGACACATGCTTAGGTTATTACTAGTAGTCAAAAATTATGGACGATATGGATATAAATCGTATATATATATATATATATATATATATATAAACATATATATATATATATATATATATATAAACATATATATATATGTTTAAGACCGGTACAAAAGTGTAAGCCTAATAGGTTAAACTTATTCTTTCATGTGTGATTAAGATAGACTGGGGGAGCGGAAATGTATAGTAAGTAATTAGGTCTCATTCATAAAATGGCGGCGCAATATGCAACGAGGTTCGGGAACATACAATATGGGCGTTGCATGTGTCAGGAAATTTCTTTCGGCGTTACTTAAAATTGATATTTGTCTCATTTGATTTGTTTTCGCCTATGAATATAGGTTCTAAATTCCTGGAATGAGATTCCTTCAGCTGATTCTAGTGCCATACGCACACAGTCCAGAACTTAGTTTTATCATGAAGAAATGATGTAGTCACAATTTCATTGAGCATAATAGTCAATCATTATATGAGATAAAACAGTTGTAATAGATCACGCGTATAACGAACCTAAACTAATTTTAACATTCTGTCTAGGGATCACTATAGCACCATTTTGTGACTAGAACACTTGAAAGTATTCATAATTACTAAATTTTGAATAATTAAGGAACTTCGAGACGTTTTTCAACTTAGATACCGTTTCTCGGCTAAAATCATTCAGTATTTTGTTGTGGCAGGGAATTAATCTACCATCTCCTAAGAACTGATATTTCATGAAGGCAGATATTCACTTGATTATCTTTCAAGAGTCTATAGAACGTTTTGTAATCTGGTTTCTATTGCAGGTGAGTTGAGTAACGCTATCGCGGTACTTGAGTGGCTCAAGACCGTTCAAAATTCGGATGAACTTGAGCAGTATCGTATCTATCAGGTCACTTCTCATAAGAAAAAAGGTACCGCGCTTCAGTCGGCCAAGAGCTCAAGCGAAATCCTGCCGTGGACTAACAACCACTTCTTCAGTTCAGAACGGCTTTCACGCTGATAGCCATTCTGAGTTTTTGCTATTTTTTTTTTCAGTTTTCAATTTGTTTTGTGCTGTTTCATTAACAAAGGGGGCATGTTAGTTCATTGGAATGGTGGTTCTAAACTTTGCGATGAAAACATATACTGTTCTATATAGTGCCGCATGTTGATGCATCTAACGATATCCCAGATAGTTATCAATTAGAGAAATGTGACTTTTTGGGCCGCATCGCGGTATAAAGTAACGGCAGGTTTTTGCAAGCCAGAGTGTGATGAAACATGTTGATCTATATATCTATCCATTTCGACGTTCTGTCATTTGTTCCCGAGGAATTTACATTCTGTAGATAAGCTAGAAAAACCAGTGCATGTTTGGTTTATGGACTATTTCAGGTAGCCTTCTCAAGGAGCAGGAAGTCTTAAATTGGCTTATACGTCAAAAGGAATCGGATGAGATAGAAGATGTCACACCAGAAATACTGGAGGCACTTATTCAGCGCTCTGATTACTTAGCTGTGCTGTTCTGTAAGTACTCCTAGCGACGTAGTTCTGGCGACTTCCGGAAGATTCGTACTAACTTTTGACAGATAACGCTTTACCTAAAGACGGACAATCACCCGAATTGTTCTACATGAAAGCTTTCGAATACATAATTTTGGATGTTTTAGATGATCGCGATGACCCGAAGTCTCAGAATATCCTGAAAGAACTGGAAAACATTGATGATGAGGCGGACGAACACGATTTGCCATTCATCAAAATCGACGATGACCAGGCAAGGATCCCTAGGCGACTGAAGTCCCATTAGATTTGCTATAATTGTAACACGCTGTTTTTCTCAATAACGGGGGCACAATATATATGTCACAGATCAATGACGAACGTTGTGGTTCATTTGTCGAAAAATTCTTGACTATAGTGCACCCCGCGGTAGGTTTTGCTTTTATTAAGAAAGTGTTCAAGACGTTTTCTCGTCATCTAAACATATCCGTTGAAGCATCAATTCGTCTACGTCAAGATCTACGTCATTCGTTTTGATATTGCAACAGCGGGCAACTTTTCGAGTGAGCTTCTTCTGGGATTATGGCATTATGCCTTGTAAACCGTATTCTACATTAGTGAAACGTATATTCGACAAGAAAAAGCCTGTTGTTTATACACTTTAGTACATTATTACATTATACAAGAACAATTTAGAATCTTGCAGAACCAACGCGGTTATTAGCCAGCTAGCTTTTTAGCAATTTAGGTTAAATAGGCGTCGCACATCAGAGGAGTGGCGCTAAAATCTTTTATAACATTTGATTTACTTTGTATAACTTTTGAGCTAACACAATAGTTGGAAACGGTATTTCGATGCTCGAAATATAATACGGCCCAGTTTGCCACAGATAAGTGGAGATCGAGAGAAAGGTTGAAAGATCATTCCGAGAATTTTATTGATACCTAGTAAACAACCGTTTTTGTTTTCTTATTGACCACTGCGTACACTTCTGTGTCGTCACCGTAAACTCTAGTATAGACATTCTTAGACGTTTCAATGAGTTAGTATATAATATGTACATGATAGGGGCAAGACCTGTTCTAACCAGGCACCCTGACGTGACGTAGGAATAAAGAGAAGAACCGTTATTTACTCGTACGCGATTATACTTCCTAGAAGCTTGCATGCGACTGCGGTGATGGAGGAATCGTTGTCGCGCGTGTAGACTGGCTGACGACAGAGATCCGAAAGAAATTGGCAACTGCGCCTTTTTCAAGTGGACGCCGAAAAATAAGAAACAGAGGTTTGCAGGTTGCACTTCTGCACTTTTTAAAGACGAAGGCCTATGTTTTGCTGAGCGTCAGACTCCGTTTTTTGTCAGGTGGCGCTCCACATCAACTGGCGAAATATCATTAATCTTATATAATTTATTTGAAACATTAATTAACAGTAAAAGTCTAGCTGGACGCTAACAAATTTCGGCACGTGATGGATATATAGCAGCAAAAAAATCATGCAGAATCTGCGCTTTTTTAGCATTATCGTTGGAGGCATCGCTAAACATACCTATGAATTGCAGATGAGTTGGGACTTTGAAGAACGGGGCTATTTTCAGTAGCCCCCCTTCTGGCCAGCTTTGCAAGCGTGACTCCTACTTAGTCATTGTGTTCTTTAAGCTGACAGCTAATACGCTTAATGTGAGCGTCAATTTTTCCCTGACCATTGCAGACTTCTCCTACTCTGAGTGAAGAATTCTTGTATTAATGTGATGTACAAAACGTGCTCGTGCGTTGGGTTTACACGACAGCGAATGTAGAAAATGCGACTTCAGTCGGTGATCAGTAGACTATGGATCATCCGATCGTAATCCTTCTTTTTTCGGCTCCAGGAACGGTCACGGCAGATGTCGACGATCGAAGTTGCAATTATTATTAGGACCATTGCATGATCAGTAGCGAACAGGGCTTGACAAATTATCGCATTGTCTCTAGAATCATTATTGGCAAGAACAACGTCGAGAACACTGCAACCTCTTATCGCGTCGGTAAAAAACTATTTTAATGCTGTTTTACTGCAGATATTTAGGAACACCTCTTCTTTTGACAAGCTATTCTTGTTGGCTTTATTATTGATGATCTGGGAAAGACAGCTTTTATGTACTTCACTCAAATACCTATAAAGAATAAAACACTAATAAACACTTTCATTCTAGGTTGCCAGAGATTACGGAATCGAAGATGAATTACCTTGCCTTGTGTATTTCGAGAATGAGATCCCATCGATTTACCACGGAGACCTTGCTAATGAAGATCAGGTCCTTGATTGGCTCATTGAGCAAATCAACTCGGATTCTATTGAAGAAGTCACAGACAAAATCCTTGAAAACCTTGTTGACAGAAATCAGCATGTTGCAGTCGTGTTTTGTAAGTATATCAGCATTGTACTCTATTGGTCAAAAGAGCTCGGTTGAAGAAAAAAGCACGTGGAAAACTGCATGTGAGGATTTTCTGACGTATACACAGAATTGGAGCCCCATTTTTCCGTAACCCTTGGCATGATACGTGAACAGAGTGGTTGATGCATATACTGACTAAAGAAAAGGTATCAAATATGGTTTTAGATAAATCTGGATGATTTCGTTTGTGCAGATGAAATGAAGAATAAAAAAATGGACAGAAAAACGGAGAAAGTGATTAAGGAGCTGGAAGAAATTGACGATGAAGCTGATGAACAATTTGTCCTGTTCCTAAAGACCCACGATCCGAACGCCGCGAAGAAGTATGGTATTGAACAATTTCCAACGCTCGTTTTCTTCGACCGCGAAATTCCGAATATTTACCAGGGAGATTTACTTAAAGAAGATGAAGTTTTAGCATGGCTTGTTAGACAGAAGACTAGCGAGGAAATCGAAGAAATCACCGAGGAAATGTTGAAGGATCTAGTTGAAGACAACCCAAAAATCGTTGTTCTATTCTGTAAGTTTTTTTATTTTTTATATCCATTTTATTAAACTTACTAGTGTATAAGGCATGCATTTCGCCTACCCCCCCCCCCGCCCCCAAAAAAAAACTATCAGACAAGTTTGTGGTATTTTTGCAGTTGACAAGGACGTCGACACATCCAAGGACGTTCTCGACGATTTGGAAAACATTGACGACGATCTTGACAAGTTAGGCATTCCATTCGTCAAGATTGATGATGACTCAATTGCCAAAGACTTTGGCATTCTTGACGAGCTACCAGCCCTAGTTTATTTTGAGGAAGAAATACCTAGTGTTTACGAGGGCGATCTCCATAATGAAGATAAGGCACTGAAATGGATTATTAAGCAAGCTCAGGAGGACACAATTGAGGAAGTCACTGAGGAAATGCTCAGTTTGTTAGTAAAAGAAAGAGAATATGTTCTCGTATTTTATGGTATGTAATTAACTTTGACTTAAGCAAATTGGTAAAATCTAATTCTATGGTAGTATACTTCGTCATTATATAACTGCTGTGAAGCTGAAAACTTCCCTAGAGGAAATAGGTTACAAAAGAGGATTCGGTTAGGCTATAATAATACCAGTAGAGGCTAAACTTTGCCCTATACCGTTGTGTCTAACGAACGCCCTCAATTTGGTACGTAGCTCCCGATAACTGCAAGGAATGCCCGTCAATTCTGTCTGAGCTGGAGAAAATCGACGATGAATCGGACGATCACGGTGTCGTGTTCGTAACGACTGATGACACAAAATTCGCGAGAAAAACGGCTGGTGTCACGAAACTTCCAGCGATCGTGCTATTCAGAAACGGCCAGCCTATGGTATATAAGGGTGAGTTTAATAAAGGGACAATAGTGTAAACATGCCATTAACTATTTTCAGTAGGCAGCATCGCGGCACGATTTCCTTTTCAATGAGACAAATTCATTTTTAAAAGGCTTACTAAAAGGGTTCCATTTTTTAGTTCCATAGTTGATTGGATCTTCGTAATATGACGTTGTGTCTTCTGTGGGATCCATATCTATAATTCGTCCAGTTTAACTAACTAGCCATTTTGTTGAAAAACCTAGCACACAACATACATTGTAGAAAAGGATTCATTTGAGAGAAAAACCCAAATAACTGTCAAACAAATTCCGGGGTACGTATGCACTTCAGATTAAATTTAGTTCATCTTTTCTGTAGACCTGGCAAGACTAGTTATCTGACTGCAAACTGCACAGGATCAGTCAACCCATATAATGGAAATAAGTTAATTTTTACCTTTAATATGGAATAGAAATGTAATTTCGACTCGGCGACTCGTGCAGGACTTAGAGGTTACTAGAGTGTATTTAAACTTAGCAGCTATGGATGTCCGCATAGGTAAAAACGAAGGCACCCATTAAAAAGGTGCGTAGAAAAAAATTTTATTCCAATGTTAGCGACGAAAAATATATATGTGTGTATATATATATATTACGTTTTTTAGATATTTCCTGCTTCTGAGTGAGTTGTTCCGTAATTCTACGGCCTTTTGCGATACTATATACATATATATATATATATATATATGTTTATTTATTCCTGAGTTTTGTAAGTTAAAATTTGGTCCACATTAATATTACTGCTTCCTTTTTGTTTCCGATTAACGCAGTTCGACTACTGATCAGTGACTAATCTGCATGTTTGTGTAGCCTCTGCTAATGAACCCTTTTAACCCTGAGCACCGTCTGCCGGGTCGGTTGTTCTTGTAGGCTGTACATACGCCGCGTGCCAGGTGCTTCAATGGCTCGGTGTGACTGTCGGCTTCCGCCTTGCGTCGTCGGAACTCGGCGACGAACTTCGGGCCTCTTGCCAAAGAGCGCGATGTCCCGCACCCGAAGGCACTCCACTTGAGAACCTGAACAAGGACGGCAAAATTAACTATGAAAAACAGCATCAGGACTTAGTTAAGTTCTCAGCATGTGATGATAAAGCCGTTCGAAAAAAGCCCGTCATCGTCTCCTCGTCGTTTTGCAACGTTCTTATGTTGTCCTACGAAAATACGCTTAAGACAAATGCGGACGAAGCGGCAGAAAATGGTGCGGAGTCCAATAGAAAATCTAGCACTTCCGATGACTTGAAACTAGGACGCAACAGACACGACGAAATATCAGTGCGACCCTATAAAAAAAGCTGCAATACTTCACCAGTTAATCCGCTCTGCAAGAAAAAGCAGAAGCTTGGAGTGCGATTGATTCGAGGCTCTCGCAAAAATCCGTTAAGGGAGAGTGAGTGTATACCGAAAGGGAAAACAGCAAAAGTTCGGTGGCGTGGCGTATGTCTCGACGGATCGAGCTGCATCGCCGACTGAACTGATCGAAACTAGATAGGAAACTCTAATCGAATAAATATATGTCTATCTGGCTCGCCTTATCTTCTGTGTCCTACTGCACTGCTATTTAATCTGTTATTGCTACCAAAATTACAACCGCTAGAACTACTACTGCTTAACGAATGGAGCATCACTCTCGGATGTTTCCAGCTATCCAACAGCTGTTCAACCTGCGCCCAGCCTGGCGCAGGACGTCCTTCTCTTTACGCTTTCTGCCTGCTTCTCGACAGTCACACCGATACTACAGCGGTTTCGCTTACCATTCAGCTTTCTTCGTATTATATTGCTGAGATCTATGCTTATCACACTGACTGCTACGTGAGTGTACAAATCACTAGTAATTTAGAATATCTGACGAATTTAGATCAACTAAATACACATGATCCGGCCTAAGCACGATAGCAAACGATGCCATCAAAAGTGTGTACATGTTTTGACATTTTCAAGTACCCAACCCTCAACGGCTAAAATTATCCTGCTTCTAGCAGACTGCCAGATGTTAACAGCCTTATTCAATAACACCAGAGATTTTCCAAGACTCATTTAATGCACGTTTATGTTATGTTTTCTACGTAATAAGGGAAGCGATTATATTATAAAGACCCGAATTCCGATTTGTTGTTAGTAATAACAAACTGCTTAGCGTAACTCCGCTGTTTGCCGCTAAGTACTGAGGTGCCAATGCAAAGGCTCGATCAGAGCAGGTTGGGTCTCAACAGCGGAACACGTAACTGAGAACCTGCTGAGCACCAAACAATACTTTTGACCTTTTGGCTAGGAGTGAATTTCAGCCAGAGTTGTTTACACGTACTCTAAATCTAGGACAAAGGTCAGGTTAATATTTGGTCCCGTTTTATTCAGTCAAGGACGGACTACGTGTAACTGCGGTGTCATATAAGCAGCAGTTACACATGTGCCATCTTGGAACTTGCAAATGGCTGGGAAAGATTTAATCTTGTTTCACACATTTAATTGAAAGGTCATTGCCATATCTTAACGTCAATCTCTATATATATATATATGTGTAGAATCGAACAATGAGCTGCGGCCTATTCACTCCTTGCAAACGAGGGTCGCCTTTGTTGAGACAAAATTGGCTTTTTTACTAATTATCAGCATAACGACTCTATTTCATAATGACAATAATACTAATCTCTTTAATTTAATGCATTTCTCGTTCAACATACAGGTGCTCTATAACCCTTTCACTGCATGGCCTTAATGCTAATGATGATGGCAATTTCGTTTAAAGGTGACATGGAAGATGAAGACGAGCTGCTCAGGTGGCTGACAAGTGAGGATACCTTGGACATCCCCGACACCATCGAGCAGATCAACCAAAAGATGCTCTCAAAACTTATTGAAAACAATGATTTCGTTGCTGTATTGTTCAGTAAGTATGTCCGAGTGGGAATTATCTTTACTCGCATAGCTTTTATGCATTGTCATGTCTGAGCGGACTACGGTTGGCTGATGGATCAATAGTAATTATAACAATGTTTGGCAATATCACAGCAAAGGACAAATGTTCACAGTGCGAAAAAGTCCTGGCTGAGCTAGAAACCATCGATGATGAGGCGGAAGCCATGGATGTTGACTTTGTTCGCGTAAACGACGTCAAGGTAGCGAGGGCCTACGACATCGAGAGCTTTCCCGCTGTTATATTCTTTAGGAAGAAGTTTCCCCAGTACTACGTCGGAGATCTAATGGACGAGGATGCCGTAAGTCAGCTGTAATAGCACAGTTAAAGTGGTTAAAGTACAATAGAAACAGTCGATAACAGAGCTCTATTATTCTAGCCTAATTTTGTCCTGAAATAGGATAACGGTGTTTTCTAGCTTACCTGTTCTATGATGACTGCGCAAACAGATATTTCCCTTATAATATTGCAATGGGCTTAAAATATGAAAATGTTTAAATGAGTATGCTGCAGGTACTTTCGTGGATTACTCAGCAAAAAGAGCGCGCATCTGTGGATGAAATAGAAGATGTCGATAGGCCCATGCTTGAGATGCTGCTTGACCAAATGGAGGCTGTCACCGTTGTGTTTTGTCAGTATAATCAGCTTCTCTCCACTGCAACGAGTTTCGCGCACGTGCATGCATACACAAGGGTTTAAAAAACGAATTTCTCAAGATAGTTGTTAAATGCTGGCTCGGTTGAAATACACTAGTAGTACTGTAAGTCGCCTATTACCAAAATTAAGTTTGTTGTATCCCGACTGACTGACAGACACTGCGGACTGCCAGACCTGTGACAAGATTCTCGAGGAACTGGAAAACATCGATGATGATACAGATAAATACGGAATCTACTTTGTCAAAACGGACGACATGGAGTATGCCAAAGAATTAGGCGTAACGGAGGTGCCTTCTTTGGTCTACTTCGAAAACCATTCACCCAGCATCTACTTCGGTTTGTGATCAATGCAGTGTACTTCTGCCATTTAAGAGAACCCTAGAAGTACTATGAAACATAACTGAGTGGTCGACTAGAATAAAGTTCATGAAGCGCAATGAACAAATTAATTAGTTATAAACAAGATTGTTTATTTCTCTTAGCACTCTAGTTAAAAACAAATAGATAGATCGGCGCAGACGCCTTACAGAAAGCTCGTTGTTTCTCTCGATGTTTCCCAGGTGACCTTACCAACGAGGATGCAGTACTCGACTGGTTGATCAAGCAGCGAACTGAGGACACGATCGAAAATATTAATCGCGATATGCTTAATCGGATGATCGAAGAGACCGATTACCTTGCCGTATTTTTCTGTAAGCAAGCTTCGCTTTGAAGCGCTATTTATTCTTTAGCTTACGAGTCCAATTATCATTAATATAAATCTTATATATGAATAGTCTTATCTGAAAACGCGGAACAAAAAAGCATATTTGACAATATTAAGTACGGCGTGTCTTATTAAGCTCCTATAGCCCTCTATATAGTAGCCCATCTACGAGGTGCCACCTCGCAGCTTAATGAAACGTATCGAATTGTATTTGTCAGGCTAATGACCTTCTTCCCAGATCTGGACATTCTTCTTTGTTTTTTATGACATATATTTATTGTTTTTGACGAATCATCCGATCATGACCTGAACCCCTAGTAATGAATTGACCTTCTATTTACGATGAGTTCTATTGGTTGCATTTGATGATTTCAGACAAAGCCCGTGATGAAGAAAGCCAAGAGATCTTAAAAGCGCTTGAAAATATCGATGACGACTGCGCTGATTATGAAGTCCATCTCGTTGCGATGGTAGACCATCTAATGGCCAAAAAGTACGGCATCCGAGACCCACCAGGGCTTGCCTATTTTCGTCATGGCAAGCACATAAAGTTTACCGGTATGCAAAGGGTGCTTTCGGTGCAGCCGTATGTGCGATGAGTTTGCAAGCAGCTTCGAGTTCGGAACGACTTCTTTTGTACTACGCAAATTAATCAATTTATGTGGATTCGTTTGATATGCGTAATAAACATCCAGAGAACTTTTATATATTTGAAAAAATCTCCCACAAAAAAACAAACCTGTTTCGCTAAAGTCTACCTTATGAGATAAATTTAATATAAACATTTCAGGTGATCTGTATGATCCAGAAGAAGTGTTGGAATGGTTGACAAATCCCGAAAATATGGAGATGGACGATGCGATTGAGCGCGTTAATAAGCGAATGTTTGAAAGGATGCTGGGCAAGGTCGAATCGCTGGCGGTCTTTTTCTGTAAGTCGAAACGTTTATACGAAGTCGACCTTGCTACTTAATTGATATATGAACCTATTACGTGGAAAGTTCCGCTTGGAATCTTGGAAAGTATAATATGGAAAATAGACTATCTACTTACACCTACATTCTAAACTGTGTAAACATGTAGACCCCATGGTCTCTACCAAAAGACGTTTTTGACTCTGAAAAATAGGTGCTAAATATGTTACATATATTCATGACGATTGATCAGATATGGCCCAAAGCCATCATTGATCTATACCTTAGTCGACTGAGACATGTCGAACTATAAGGGCGTTGCTACGTTCTGTGTAGGCGGTAAGATGCATGGTCATCGCAATGATAGACGACGCAGCACGTTAAGATGTTTGCCCTAATTAAAGTGCTATTTTTGGTTTCTTTCTAGAAATAGCATATCTGATAATGTTGAATATATGACACGGGCCTATATAAACGTAAGTAGCTAAAACCTGTGGACGATCTGTCTGACTTTGTTGATCTTTTTGGTCTGTTCTATGACTAATCGAATTTCGGAAGCTATCCAAAACTTTGACAACTACTATGGTTTACTGCCTTTTATACATTTATTGCGTACTTTATATTATATATACTAGTGCTTTATATCTAAATAAAATACTTACGTCATAAAAGAGCAGTCTTATGATGACTAAATCCGCCATTGCCTGTCCGGGGCAGAGATTAAGTATAGAGGGACGTTCTTAACGATAATTCGCTAAGATGTCTAAAGTGTTTTTCAAGCAGAGATGCAAACGGCTTGTACACGTTGTGTACTCGGCATAGTTGTTATTTCCAGGGAGAATTTTCACGCACCTGGAGCGATGTCTAAGTGCTTTACAAGTCAGTTGAAGCAATTCTAGTTGGGCTTTTCCTTGAATTGCCCTCATGTGTATCTCGCCTATTGCCTGCCACACTTCGAACTCTCCTATAGCATATTAACGACTGCAACAGCTAACGGCCAAAATGCTCGTTTTTAGCTCGTATTACTAAAATGCTCTCCTGTGCGTTCTGGCAGGTAAAAAAATTAGATGGAAAGTACCCAATTTTTACGCTTATTGATATAGTGTTTTTTTTTTCTTTTTTTTTTTTTTGTTGAACGGAATACTTTGCCCCGTTCGGTACAGAATGGACCAAGTATAGGCCTAACACGTACGCAAATTTTTCACCTGCAGTAGTCACATTCTTAGTCTCTTTGGCCATCGGGCTTCTCGAGTGCAGTAAAACGTTCTGTTTTGCTAAAAGCGCCTCTCTTCGAATTCCCAATTGATGACTGCTGAAAGGCAACTACGGTTGTAATTTTTCCGGAAAAAATCGAAAGAAAATATTTAAATTCTTGATGACCATGGAGAAATACAGACCAGGAGGAGGGCTGTTGCTGCCCTTATGTAGTTTTCAAGATGTAGATTTTTTATTTCATAGTGTTTCAGGCTTTGTTTTATAATGAGCCTAGGCGTTTACTTCGTGAATAGCCAAAACCCCTTACGACTTTCCCAAGAAACGAGCTATAGGTCTATAATTATTTCCACATATACTGAAAAATTGTCTCGTCAGATTCAATGTCGTACGGCACGGATCGTGCAACAAATGGCACTGGCTAAATATAATAATGACGACTGTCGCACTATCCTGCATCAGCCATTCTAGCAATCTGCTCACCCTGCTGTGATAGAGTATACCGTGCCTTACGGTCTGCGTGACGATCGTTGTAACCAGTCCATTCGATAGAGAGTATCTATCGTCAATCGACTTGGTTCCTCCGTCGGCAGACTTATGCCACAGACTTCATTTAAGAAAGTTCTAGAAAATACAATCAGCATTATCGTACAATTGCCTTTTTGTCCTTCTCGAAAAATGTTGGCCATTGTAGATAGCAAGACGACATGCAAACAGTGTTCACGGGTCCTGGAGGAACTCGAACGAATCGACGACGATGCTGATGCCGAACAAATTAAAATGGTGAAAATCGACGATGTACAACTGGCAAGAAAGTATGGTGTTTACGCCCTTCCCGCTTTTCTGTTCTTTCGCAAAGACGAACCGTAAGTGAACTCTTAATGTTTTCGTTGTTTCGATCACGATTGCGACATTGTCTACTACTGTGCCACAGGTGATATTGCCTATCGTTCGCAAGGAGAGTTTCTGAGCTCTTGAAGTAAATAATTGAAGATGCCAATGTAACAATTATGGCTTACTTTCATAATTCACAGGATCTAGCTAGCGACTGCCGATAGTCAGGACAGGATATTTCGTAGGCCGTAGGCGTATTTGAAAGTAAAGCTCAGTGTGGGTTGAAAAATCTGTGACAATCTTTGTGCTGTTACTTTTGGCGGTCGCTCGTAACATACACAAATCGATGATAAGATTTAAAAAAAAAAGGGATATAATGAGGCATCCTATTGGTAGTAATCGAGCAAGGTCAGAGTAAAAAGTAGGACCTGGCTTTCTTGATGCAGCCAAGAAAGCGAGGTCCTACTTTGACCAAAGCAAGAAAGAACTAGAGCTCCTTAAGCATTTCTAATCATATAATCACCTTCTTATATCTAGCCTCTATAATTTCCAAATAGGATCGCTTTTCTGTCGAATGATACGCCTAAACGTAGAGCGAAAGATGCAATGCATCGATGGAGTAATTTGCACTAAATAGGGAGCTCTGGATAATACTGGGCCGACGTGTTATGCACTACGTGATACTATGACGGCTGGGCTCTGACAAGATAAACGCCACTTGTTGGATAAATCAGGGAACAAGGTGCCCTTTTTTCTTCACAATATAGAACCCAACCATTTCTATGTTAAACACAGTTGAATTGGAAGTTTTGTTATTATAGTCATTAAATTCCCACACAGTTATTCGTGGATTATTTGGTTCTTGTCGCATTTAGTCGCCATTACTGAATAGCATAGCCGTATCGTGCAGCAGTCATTGCGATTTCTCTCGTTATAGTTAGTATAAGCTAGAAAAGGGCGCCAAGGGAGTCGTTAGACTCGTCAAAAATCTATTTAGCCATTTAGATTTGGTAGCGAAGTGAAAGGAAGAACGGGGAAACACTCAAGCTTGGCTTAAGAAATGTGCGATACATTTCACAGTGATCCAGTAATTTATGCGGGTGATTTCCGTACCGGAGAGAATATGCTTGAATGGATGCTTCTTCAGAAGAACCCAGATTCGGAGCGTATTGAAGAGTTGGTGGGAGACGAACTACGGAATATCATCAAGGAGGCACCATCGGTCGCCTGCTATTTCTGTAAGTGCACGCGCAGGTGTCTGTGCATCGTCTTTCCTCAGAGTTCCTCAAACGCAGAGCTAGACGCGGTTAAGATAGCGGCAGTGTAGATTATTTTGTTTTAATGGAATCTGTTTTAAGGAATTTGTTTTAAGGAAATCATAACCCGATACAGCAAGCGTAGTTTTGCCTTACACTTGATAGAGCTTTTAAACAGTCGTAGAATCAAAAATCCAATATTCGTTCCAGCCATAGCTGCTACTTAAGGGGTATGGTACGATTCCTAATCGATGGCAAGTGCCTCATTTGTAAGATGTAAGACTGTTGCCATCCTCTTATACATCAGAACCATACAGAAATGTGTGTTTCATAACGATGCCAAAAACATCCAAAAACAACAGCCGCATTCGACAGACTGAAGCAATGATAATTTAATGATAGGACATTCCTCGACGCGGAGGGTCAGCGTTCATTACTTTCGTCAATTGCTCTAATGGTGCGCGTCACAGCTTCTATAATTGATTTTGAATTTTTCCCAGCAAAATCGATACCACGCCGAGTTAGCATTTTTGTAACAAACTGCCGTTGACGAGCAGCTCTAAGAAACTGATCTGAAGCCCGAACAAGCAAAAAATTGAAAAGTTGAAATTTCAAGTTTAAGCGAAAGCTATAGATAATCAAAATCCAATTGCCCTAAAAGCTGAACCTAAAAAATTATCTGATACAACAGCGGAGTGGTCTGTCGATGATCACCAATGGACCCACGCCACATATGATGACAGCCAACGTTACTAATAAAAAAGACTCTACCCTAACTTGATCTTTATTCAGAATATAATGGAACCACATTTAGTTCGCCTACTCGTTTAGCTTTTTACCTACCCATGCAAAATAATTAAAAAAAATTTGCCCTTCTATGTTCCACATAGCTTATGTAAATGGATAGTATTTTTGAACCTGGCAAGATGTCTAATCACAGACTGATTGTTTTTGTTCCTCGGTTATCGTTTGGACAAGACAACCGAAAATGCCTGAAGTGTGACGGTTCAGCACAGAATCCGGGTAGGTTTAAGTTTTTTGCGGAAGTTTTTTTTAGGGACAACTTTCGCGTTGTTGTATCTAATCAGGATAGCGAATATTTCCGTTCTGTGACGTTTCGAACTAACAAGGCACCGTTTGGTTTATGATCAACTGTTCGTTTGAGTTTTGTGGTTATTTCATCCCAGAGAGAGGTCTCATTAATGGCCAATTATCTGTGTAGTGTAGTTAGTCAGGGGTCCGAACTTGGAGGCAACTCCCCCTCCGATGAATATTTGACAACCTTTTATTGAGCAATACGCTTTTCCTTCGCCTGCTTATTTATTCGTCCTTTTATTCTGTTTTTACCTAAAACGTCTTCAAGTGGTGCTCACCAATATACGACGACAGGTAAACTTTGCTAGTCGGTGATGTTTATTGGCCATGCTGTCATTACCACTAGTTGAGTTGAACACCGGTAGAACGTTTGATTACTTCATTTATTAGCCTGATCGGACACGACTTCTCTTTATTTATTTATATGTTCTGCTTCGCACATTACGCACATCTTTTTAGTTCTTCACGCGGTCTAACCTTCACACACATCAAGCGAAGGGGTTCGCTAATAAGCGCCATGATCGCCTCTGATCGCTGTTGCGTGTATAGAACAGAATACTGATATTCATATTAAATCAGTTGTTTTTTTTTTCTTTTTTTAATTGCAATTTAGTGATAATACTGCGATAGATAGATAGATAAGACGCAAAAATAAGGCGTCATATCTTTCCATCATCATGGACAATTTTCCCATTTTAGATTTAGTGTTTTGTAATTGTTTCTTCTATGTTTTACTAGTTTTTTGTGTCCACTGCTGTCCCTGGTGCATAGTACTAGCGTGCTAGTGGTGAGCATGTACGCTTGCTCTATATATCTGTTTTTCGTACTGAGACCTGTGGATATTGTGCAGGAGCAGCTGACACCGTCAAGCTTGAAGTTGCTTAGGCTTTTTTCGTTGCACACGTTTTTTTCTCATGAACGTTAACCGGCTATTAACAGTGCATAAAGTGAGGTTTTCGTTTTTTAGTTTGATGCGCAGTTATGTAGAAAGACAGCGAGCACTTGTGTATTCGGGTAGCTGCCCGGGTCGGATTCTTAGATTCGTACAAGTAGTGGACAGGCTGGGCGTGGATCAATAGGTTCTATTGTGTTATTTCTATTTTGTTGATGTTAGGATCGAAAGTGTGTTGAAAAGTAACTGCTCATCAAAGATATGCTTATGGTTCACGCTGTCATAGGGATTTTTCAACCTTGGTTTTATTTTTACCAAAAAGGCTTTTCGATTTTTAGTCTCAATGGGTCCTTTGATGGTGCGTGAAACTAACGTCAGTGTGTTATGTTGTTGCTTGACTTCCGTGCGTCTTATCATGCTGACCGTGATGACTGTGATGGCCTGAATGAAGATGAAGAGAAAGTTGACTGCGAAGAGTGTCGGAAGATTCTAGAGGAACTAGAAAACATCGACGACGATACGGAGAGGCACGGAATCAAGTTTGTCAAAAGTTGTGATCACACCGTGGCTAAGGAGCTTGGCATTAGGAGATATCCAAGTCTTGTTTATTTCGAACACAGCATCCCCAACATTTACGAAGGTTTGCAATCATTCTCAAGCTTCAATAATAGCATCCCACCAAATGTTGAAATTAGCCAATAAGTAGAGTGAATTATAAAAGGATATTTCATGATTATTTAAATATAGTTATGTTTTTCGACGAACAAATCATTTTTCACGTTGTGCTATAGTATGCACAGACCGAAAGACAAAGTTGGTTGGATAATAATTTTTGAGGCTGACTAAGACATAGTTTTGTCAACATATTTTCACTCTACATTGCTCTTTGGGCCATAGTTAGATGCATTTCTTCCTAATCATGTCTCTAACAACTTGATGACAAAGACGGTACCCGTGATTTTTTTGTTATAGCTTAAATTTGTTTTTTTATTCTCTTGCTTTCGAACTGTTCATTTTTCTTTTACGTTAAAACGATCGTGCGTCAACAGACTTATGACGTATACCTGAATTCGGTGTCTTTGAGAAAGACTTTTAAAAATTATACGGAAATATGTTGTGAGTATATCCAGATTCAGATACGTGACCCATGTCAAACTGGGTGGTGACTCACTGTTGTGTCAGCGTCCATTGGGGTACAGTCAGAACCAGATGACATTCGCTAACTTATTACGAAAACTTCTCTGTTTCTGTATTTTAGTAAAACATTCTTTCCGTTCTAAAATCGAACATAAAAGAAACCGATTTAAATAATGTAATCGAGAAAAATCCTTCGTATTATGTCTTAAAAATTATTGATATAAGCGTTTCTGATCGTTGATGGCAGATTTAGCAAAATGATCATTTAAGAAAATAAAGGAACTAAGCGTGGGGGGCAAGGCAAGTGCTTTGCGTAAGATAGACCCTGTTTATATTTCACAATACACATTTAAAAGAAATATTCTCTGCCACAATGCTCTTTTCAGTATTAGAACATATTAGACTCTTACGGTGTCAGAGCCTTTGGTAAACACAGCACAGAAAGTTTGCTTTCCAAAGCCGTGAAAGGGTGCTACTTATATATCCTATTTGTGAAGTAGTATTTGCAATAACGCTGATCGAATCAAAACCATATTCTGAACAAAATATATTTGTCTTCAAATTGAAACGCTCAGTGCACGACATCAGTCGTGGTGGACATGATTTTTCTATGCCTTACAGGCGACCTGTCGGGAGAGGAGGAGGTCCTTCAATGGCTCATCACACAAAAGACCGAGGACACAATCGAAACCGTTAACCGAGACATGCTCGAAAAGCTTTTCGAGAATACGCAATATCTTGGAGTATTTTTCTGTACGTAAATTGACGTGTACAAATGTTAGAACCTTTTTCTGAACGGCTCCTTAAAGTAACTGATATTTACCCTATTAAACGGCTACATCAGGGACGTATCCGAAAATGATTTGCAGGATCACACTTCTGGTTAGTGATGATCACTTTCTTATCAATAATGGTATAACAAACAACCGAAAAAGTTTGCCTTCGCAAAAAAAAATTGTGCTTTTTTAAATGACTTACAGTAATCGTTAATTTAAGAGAATTGCTCTATTGATCTATTTTCATCCCCGAAAAGACAAATCGCACTGCCGGGCATGTGATCAGGCCCTAGCAGAGCTGGAGAGAATTGATGACGAGACGGATCTCTTCGGTATCCACGTGGTCAAGATTCAAGATGTTGGTCTCGCGAAACGATATGGCATTAAAACCTTCCCGGCACTTGTATATTTCCGCAACGGAAATCCACTCATATTTGAAGGTATTTCAAAGATAGTTCTCAAAATGACTAAGCCCTCAAGGATACGACTCATTAGAGGATCAGAGGCAGCATATAATCTCTTGTGAAAACAGAACTTTTAATTTGTATATATGTTTATGGTTGTGGAACGACGAGTTTGACTATTATTCTGCACGTTTTCAAAAAATCAATGCATTTTCTTATGTTGTGTCTCGATCACAGCCTGTATTTTATCGTGAGTCTTGGATTTATATTCTATCGAATTATTACAGGAGACCTGAAAAATGAAGAGCAGGTATTAGAGTGGCTAACAGATGACGACAATAGAGAGCTGGCAGGCGAAATTGAGGAAGTCAACGAGAAAATGCTTGATCGGCTTATCGAAAGTTCGCCTTTTCTAGCTGTACTATTTCGTAAGCATTCACAGCATATTTCACGGCCGATAAGGTCATGATTAAGCTACGTTTTGTGTGTTACATGGTATTTCAGTGCCTATATATTGTGTTCGAATGGATATTTCTACGTTTACAAACCAGTATTTAGAGTACGATGCCTTTTAGAAATTTAGAGGAGAGTATTTCTTCGCGCGAAACTTTTGTAGCCACATACCCCAATAGCAACTTGCAGGTGTTATACCGAGGCAAGTTATGGGTCAAATGCATAGATAACGATACGAGTACCAAAGGAAAATCACGCCTGCTAAACATTTCTGTTCGGCGAACGCTTCGCCTTATGGTTACAGTGGAGGAAGACTGCGACGACTGTGAGCGGGCTCTAAAAGAACTCGAGAATATTGACGACGAAGCGGATATATATGGTATCGACTTCGTCAAAATCAACTCCCTAAGTTCAGCGGCTAAATTCGACATAACTACATTTCCCTCGCTCGCTTATTTCCGCAAGGGCAGAGCAACGATCTATGATGGTGAGGCTAGCCATTGAAATAAATCACTAATCGTTTTATGATCTCATGTGAGGCGTGCATAATGTGCTACTGTTAAATATGCAGAGCGTCACATCGATGTTATGGTATACCCGCAGGCGACCTTACAAAGGAAGACAAAGTTCTTGCTTGGCTTACTGCTCAAGAAAATATCGAGCTTAAAGATGAAATCGAGGAGGTTAACCGTAAAATGCTGGAAAAATTGCTTGACGAGAATGACTTCGTCGCCGTCTTCTTCTGTGAGTAACATACAGCGAATGGGATTGTACACTGATTGATAGCACGGCTATTCTTGCGTATGCAGATTCTTCACAGTGAGTTCAAGACGAGATTTAAAATCAAGATGATACAATCGTTTCATATAGAAATCATTGACTTTCTAGTTGAACTGAACAATGACGACTGCGACCAGGTCCTAAAGGAACTTGAACACATTGACGATGAAGCTGAGGAGTTGGACATAATGCTGCTGAAGATCAACGATGTTAAGTATGCTCGGAAATACGGAATCAACAAGGTGCCTGCCATTGTTTACTTTCGAAGAAAGTTCCCCTCAATCTTTAGAGGTAACGTCATGGAAGGACAATATCCATACGGTAGTCATCTTCGAATTTCTCATGAGGATACATACCTATACGTATAGTATTAATAATTAAATTTATTGGCCAAGATATAATTCTTCTAGATTAGTATAAGTTTTTATCAACGTTACTGTTCCAGGTGATCTGATGCATGAGGAGCAAGTTCTTGAGTGGCTACGTAAGAATCGTTATAGGCAACCTGAATTAACATTGTTTATGTACGCACTGGTGATTGTTGCAGTAGGTTTTATCGGCTACACTCTATTCCTTATTTTTTGCATGAAGGACGTGACCAAGGATAAGAAAGAATAAATTCTGCACGACCAGGATAATAATATACATATATAGTGATATGGTAAACTCCTATGAAATACTTCTGTTAGTTGCTTCATTGGTCAAGTAAGCGAGGTGGCTATATAAATTGCTTTACTTCTCCAACTGCGCGACAATAACGACTGTTACAAACAGAACGTGAGCAGAGAACTATTGGAACGGTCCAGAAAGAAAGCCATTTATTGACAGATGTATTGTAGACGGAAAAACTAACTGATCCCGATACCAATATATAGAGCAGTTGTACGGTATATAAGATCTGTACAATAGAGCTTTAAAATGTGGCCTCAAAATGAGCTGTACTATTTTTACATTTTGTCACAAAGATCACAGTGCTGGTAGGAGTTAGAAAAGAACGCGATGGGAAGGATGCCGGATCGAACGCAAATGAGAGCTGATGTTCAATCAGACTTGTGCGTATTTCTGTGGAAAGATGGCAGGCAAGGGCAACGAGCGAATTTGCATGTACATATACGTATTGCAAAATAGAAGACATACCAGAACAAACCAATACGAACGCTGGGGCCGCTCAATGACGGAATCGATTTTACAATTTCAAATGTTTTAAATTTTAAACAAAAACAGAAAATAAGCAACGACAAAGCCCGACCCAGTGCACATATGATGTCGCGCTATTGTGACGACCAACTTTTGCACACACGACGGGCATATGGAATTTTGCCGTCCAACATTACCGATACGCTTTTTGATGCCTGGAAGTAGCGCGAAGTACTAATCTGTGCGAGATTTCTCTTTTTGATCGTAAATCGAACGAATGGAAAAGATATTTAAGAAGAGACCGGCTTCGAATTGTGCCTCAAGAAACTAGTGAAGCCCGATCTTACTTTGCATGTTTTAATACTTTGAAGTTTATCATCTTCTAGTAATTGTCTATCGTATCAGAGATGCTTTCCCGTTTTTCACTGCTGCCCGGCAATAAACGAGGCAATTAATGCATAAATTAGTTTCTAAAATCTGTAAGCCACTCACTGTAGGCAAGTCTTCCGTAAAACTAGGACCAGTAAACCAGGAACACTAAAGATGGGGCGAACGATATCAAAGGTCACTTGTAATATATCCAATAAACAAACTGTTTTTTGGCGATCTATGGGCCTTCTAAATTGTTACTATATGTTCTGATAAATTAGGGAAGTGTTATGTATATACATATATTTTTTCCGCATACTGAAGAGTGCGCAAAAATTCTATAACAAAATTATCAAAGATTTTTCCGCAAATCTATCTCTCAGATTCATAAACATGAACAAAACACCGTTATATAATTAGCGTTTCGGCTTGGCTGCAGCTTTACGGACCCAAAATTATGATTCTATCATATTCAATCTTCTGATAAACAACAAATGAAACAACATTTAGTTTATTTTGAACAACTACCACAACAGTTCCCGTTCAGTATTCTGTTGAGGTTAATCCTGCGATTTGTTGACATGCTCATTCTTCATAGCTTTGTCATATGCGTCTATATGGATCTTACACCGAAAAGATCTACTGATATGAAAGGTCACATTAATGCTGACTAGTAACTACATTTTTGTTTAACTGCTGGTCTTAGATCATCCAAACTTTTTATGAGATGGGTACATTTACCCACCTGGCTGGGCGAGATCAGGTACTGAGTAACTTTGCCTATTATATTCTGGAATACGTCAACGGTATCCGTATAAGTCGTTTACTGATGTAGAGACCTTCATTGTGTGACACCCGCTCTGTTTATCACGAATGGCCTGCGTTGTCTGTGGGACAGAAAACACAGAAGGGTGAGCTAGTTATAAATCGTAGCTGAGAATGATCTAAAATGAAGTCTTCGTAGATGCTTCTAGTTACATATGGATACGCTGACAGTCGCACGGGCACCAGTGCAAAACTCGTCATTAGATTTTCTAATGACGAGTTTTGCACTGGTCACGCTTTCCACTTTTATATGGCTTTAATGTAATACTAAGAGCACATTAGGAAGGCAAGTATTTTTACAGCTAAAAATTGTATTAATCTATATCGTATAGAGAGGTAAACGATGTTGTCATGGCAGTGCAAGATTTGTTCGAGACCTTTCAAATTAGATGTGTACCGCATCAATGACCGTTCACCATCGTTAACACCACATTTGGGCTTTAGCAAAGATATATTTTGTTTCGAAAAACTGAAAAATATTTTTAACTTACTAATAAAGCAGGCCATCTTTTTTCCTATAAGATATTTGCATGTACCTTTTTTTATTTATCGCCCTTCTTTGCCTGACTGCTGGAGGATGTCCAGCGTAGTTTTACATTAACATTAATGGAAAGAAGCGCTTAGTCTGTAATTCAAAAGCCATTCGTATGTGCCTGTTCTCGGATCATTACATCGTAATCCCTTGCGCATTACAAGCAAAAACATTGTCATTTATGATAATAAATTTGTTGCGGGCCATGAGCATTTCCAATGTACACTTATTTTAGGAGAATGCGCCCGAGAATGAGTCACTAAATACTAAAATGAATAAATTTTTAAAGCTGTACACACTTCAGTTTTTACGGTTTACTTGGGAACTAGATGCGTAACTAAAAAGCTGTTTATTTACAAACCTTTCCTTTGCTGAAACAAAGATAATTTTTTTTTGTGAACTTACCCGTCAAGCTGCTATTTAGGATGGATTAATCAAGTAGAATTGTGTATTCGATCATTTTTTTTTCAATAACTAACTTGCTAAATCGATAATCACCATTTAACGAATGCTCTTTTACTATCGCTTACGCTTTCACTACAGCCTGCCCTGCTAAAGTTTTAGACGAGTATCACTAGAGAATTTCTTCTGCTACAGCTTTCAAAAAATGACACGACCGAAGAGAACAACCCGATTCTGCCATAGTCTTCTTCTGTGCACTGGCTAACAACATCCTAGGGCATTTACCTACCGCGCCTTCTCGCGCTATATTTTCGGACAGCTTTCTCAATGGTATCGGAAGCCTCGCAATGATCAAATACACCAATGTGAACGCGTCATTAACCTGACGTCGGAACTACAAGGGGACTGCCCCACCTCGCACCGCTTACTTTATCACTGTTAGGGCCGTTCCCAGCATTTACAGCCTCCAAATAAAATTTCACTTGGGCGGGCTTTTGGCTGATTTCGCAATCAGCCTTTGGCGGACTCTTCGACTGACTGAGAGCAAAAGCCATTTCGATAAAGCGGGTGTGACATAGAGAATGAGAGGCTTTTTATAATAAATCGTTTTTCTTCTGTTAAGCTACTGGCTACAGTAGACGGACGCGTGACCAAAACGCGGCATGTTCATTATCTGCCATCTAAAGGCGGGAAAAAAAAAGTATAACCCGTAAATAAGTCGTATAGTAGACAAGTCATTAAGTAACGAACGCTTCGGAACGTTGTACGTACGGGAACTTAATCTTGATACAGAGGATATTCGTTCTGTGACATGAAGTTTTGATAGAACAGTATTCAGCTTTTTTTTTTTAGGTATCCTTACATTGAATGTCTGAAAGCGTAAATGTAGCGTTTACTGGTTCAATTATATCTTTCAGTCTTCAACCATTTTACTGATTACTTAAATAAAATTTAAACAACTCTGAAAAATGTATTACAAAATTGCTATATAAGATAGATATCTTGGATTGGCGTGACTGAGATCACGAGGAATAACCGCTGCATACGAACGTTAGCCTGTGTCGGTGCGTTAGGTCAGCTGCACCTCAAGGTGTACAACTGCATACGAAAAATCCTGATTTTTTCAATTACCTTTTCCAATGTTAGCCAAATGGCGGGCGCATTAATCATCGTTGCGTATAGCAACACTGGGTGGGTTTTTTTTTTGAAAGAACTTACCAGGGAACAGTTATCTTACCCTGGTACTGGATTATGAATTAGAAGATTAAATGTGAAAGGATGATATATAAATACCGGATTCAGCATAGGCGTATTCCGCCTGTATCCCCTTGTAAAATTCTTCGTTTCCTTGATACGGCAAACGTTCGTAACAGAGTTGGTTAGCCGCTGAACGCAGCTGCCACTACTACGATTGGCGTCACCCCTCCTGCTACTGTTATTGCTATTGCTACCGGCGTCTTGCCTCTGTTACTCCGCTCAGCCAATGCCAATTTTTAAGCCCATAAGTGTCTAACAACTGGGTCTATTGAAGAGTCATTCATGCCCGAACGACACTGATGAATGGGTTTTTACATGTAGACCCTGCTTTAGATTACAACCGGTGCTAGCTAGCGAACCCAGACACGGCGGTGCCTAATTGCACAGAACTAGCTTCAGATGTGAGAGAATCGACCGACCCACCTATCGAACGTCCATGTTGATATTCCCATGGGGGTCATTTGCGTAGACCTCTCTTTCTTTCTATATACAAATATTTGAATGCTTGAAAACAGTGCCGCTACTTGACATGCGATTAGACCGGCCAATAGCCATTTTGAACATAAGGCAACGTCGAAACGCTCGCTGTCACATATTAAGCAAACAAAAGCGCGATCACCATGCGGTCAAGTCGTTCAACCGTACAAACCCTAAATATTATGAAACGATAGGTTTAGGATTCAGATAGTACGGACCATAAATATTGTATAGGTAGATGTTAATCGTTTTTGTTATTAATTAACAGGTCACTAGTGTGGCACATAGTGACATAGGACAAAAGTTCGACCCAATATTAGTGTAACCAGAAGTTACGTCAGCGAACCTTGAGCCATATATTTGTAACAGCCAAAATACAGCTGTCGTCAATGGCTGACCTTAACTGAGTTAATAGTAGTTCAACGAAAAGCAGGCTTCGTATATGCTAGAAATAGCTAGTCTCATCCTTTACATTATTTAGCGTCTTGTTTTTGCTTGGACGGTTTGCGGTTATGTCGCCGCGTCAGGATTACTTCGGACAGGGCGAGCCGCTGTAAAGTGAACGGCGGCTTCTTCGAGTACTCAGGATTCCCTAACAGCTTTGTGCAATCGCATAAAGATATAATGGCATTTTTCAACGTAGAGAATAGAACTAGCCGTTTGCCGATCGTATTAGATACAGCGGATGAGTTGTCTTAGGCGTAATGAAATTCGCACCTGTCTTAGCTTAGCAGGCAGCGCGTTTGCCTTAGGTTCGAATCCGGGGATAGACACAAGTAGTTTCGTCGCGGGAGCCAGCCATCTGGTGGAATGCCGAACGGCGATGTTGTAAAGTTTATAGTGAAGTTAGCACGGCTAGTCGTATTGGGAAATAGTAAATGTCTGACTAAAACTTGATGGATTTTGCAACTCTTGTGTAGATTTCCCTTAGAAGTAACTTTGGCACACACAGCGCAATGGAACTAACTGTCAATAATAAAAAATATAAAGAATACATTTATATGTCGTAATTGTTAGTTTACTATAGGCTATCGTGGATACTACAGGCTATACGATAATCGTACTCTTCAGCTTTACTATGGCCTGCGTAATGACTCAGTGGTCGTTCTTAGCGTGTGAAGTTTTGACAAAGTTTTGTTTGGAAGTTTTCTATTGTAATTATTGGCCTACAGGTTTTTCTAGGGTATTCAAGAGGTTTATTTGTAAATCCGCTATAGGGTATCAGTTAGAGCAAACCATGCAACTGTACATGCAAGCGAGAACAAGTCACATAATAGTATCTAACTATCTAATTTCGAAAGAAAAGTTATTTTAGTTAGTGGCAACTTTCAAGCCAAAATACAGCGCTCAACTTGCTGCGAAGTTACGTACGAAGAATAAAGTTGTTCAAAAGTTGCGCCACTTTTTATCAGGCTCAGCGAATCTGAAAATACTATTCCAAATTGAACGAAAAAGGTAATATCGGTAGAGCAGCTAATTAACACGAATCAGCGGAACGGGTTTTGCGTTACATAAATCTACAGTACGTTCTTGCGGAACCCATATCCTACTTTGTTTCGCGTATCCTACAGCCGAGCGCATGGAGTTTTGGATACTTGAATAACATATTTTTTGGCATGAGTTAAATTTTCTGGAAGTTTATTTTGGCATCACTGCATGCTCCTACCAACCTTTGATTATTTAGTTGTGATATGTAGTAGACAACTAGCATGTTTGGTCTAGACGCACCTAATATATAAAAGTACCG